GATTTTTAGATAACCAAAGTTTTTGTTTTGTTTTGCGATGCCAGACATTCTTGTTATTCAAGAAAAGAAACCAGACCTGTGCAAATAAGGCTGAACAAGGTGGTATATGCCTATAAAACACCTCAGTTCACATAGAGCAGAGGAAGGAGAATCACAAGTTCAAACCCAAGCTCGAGTTAACAGAGCAAAGTAATAATCAAACTGGGATACACAGAAAGATCCTATCTAAAATAAGCATAATGGAGATACTTAATATCTAAAAAGATTACTGCTAAGAATTTTTAAGAAGCAAATAACAAAGGGTAATAATTTACAATTTCCAGAAGATATAAAATTGTTATCAATATCTTAAAATATCATACTATAACATCCAAAATCAAAGATAAATAAAATCTAAAATGCTGCAAAAACAGAAAAAGATTACTTACTTATTACTTACTTATTCAAAGTTCAACAGTTAGGTTGGCAACTAATTTCTTTTTTCTTTCAAAGATTTATTTTAATGTATATGAGTGTTTTGTCTACATTGAATGCACCACATGCATTCAATACCCACCAAAGCCAAAAGAGGACATCAGATCCCCTGGAACTGGACTACCAGACTGTTGTGCACCATCACATATGGACTGGAAATTGAATCCATGTCCTTTGGAAGAGCAAAAGAGTGCTCTTAACCACTGAGTCATCTCTCCAGTCCTAAAAACTAATTTCTTAAAAAACAAAAACTAAATGTCAGTTACTTTTCAATTGCCAAGATAAAACACCATGACCAAGGCAACTTATAAAAGAAAGCATTTAATTTGGGGCTCACCATGGCAGAGAACTGAAGTCTATTACCAACATGATCATGGCATCTGGCAGGCATATCTCTGACACAATAGCTAGGAGTATTTTATTGAATGAGTCATCTTCCCAGCTCCCTGTGGCAGCCATAGATCATAATTACTTTGTCCCCAATACTTGATCCACAAGCACAAGGTACAGAGAGCAAATTGGGAATGCCTCAGGCTTTTGAAACCTCAAAGCCCACAGTGATACACCTCCCCCCAACAAGGCCAAAACCCCAATCATTCCCAAACAGTTCCATCAACTGGGAACCAAATATTCAAACATATGACCTATGGCAGCCATTCTCATCCAAGCCACTACAGAGAGATAGGAAGATGACTCAATCAATAAAGTACTTGATGCGCAAACATAAAGACCTGAGTTTGATCCCCAAAACACACATTAAAAAAGCTGGGTGAGATGGCACATGCCTGTAACTTTAGTTTTAGGGAGAAACAAGTAGCAGAATCCCTAGGGTTTGATAGCCTTTCTATCCAGAAAAATCAGCAAGCTCCAGGTTAAATCAAAGACCCTTCTCAAAAGTTGTCTTAATTGAAGGATCCCCTCTTCCCAATGAATTGCAATGAAAACCTTTACTAAGAGTAAAAAAGAATATAGAAGAATTGAACCAACAAACTTAAAATGGGTGGCACAGAAACAGCCAAAAGTACAGGGTGAAATGTAGTAGCTGGATATACAGCTCATTGGATAAAGCACATCAATGTTCCGATTCCCAGAGTGGCAGCCTTCCTGTAATCCCAGTAAGGCAAAGACAATGCAAACTATAGACTAGTTGAATTGATGAGTTCTGAGTTCAAGTGAGAGAATTGCCGTAATACATTATAGGACAATATATATTATCATCATTTATTAATTATATGATAAAAACAGTCTAGGATAATGGTTCTCAACCTTCTTAATGCTGTGACCCTTTAATGCAATTCCTCATGTTATGGTAACCCTCTAAAAATAAATTATTTTCATTGCTACTTCATAATTAATTTTGCTACTGTTATAAGTACCTGTGAAAGGGTCTTTCCACCCCCAATGGGGTCATGAACCAAAGGTTAAGAACCACTGACCTTCCTGAGTAAATTGGGAGCACAAGAGGAGGAGAGAGAGAGGAAGGAGAAAGAAGAGGGGGAAAAGGGATGGGGAGAGGAGAACATGAAGGATCAGGAAGGTCAAGTTAGGGAAGAAGAGAGAAGGAGATCAAGGAAACAGACACCTTAATAAAGGGAGCCATTATGCACTTAACAAGAAACCTGGCACTAAGAAAATCTCCAGGGATCCACAAGGTTGACTCCAACTAAGAATCTAAGCAATAGTGGAGAGGCTACCTTAAATGCTCTTCCCCTATAATGAGATTGATGACTACCTTAAATGCCATCATAGAGCCTTCATCCAGTAGCTGATGCAAGCAGAAGCAGAGATTCACAGCTAAACACTAAGCAGAACTCCTGGAATCCAGTTGTAGAGAGGCAGGAGAGATGAGCAAAGATGACCAGGCTGGGGAAACCCACAAAACAGCTGACCTAAGCAAGTGGGGGAGCTCACAGACCCCAGTCTGACAGCTGGGGAACCAGCTTAATACCGAACCAGGCCCCCAAATATGGTTGTCATTTGGGGTACTGGGCAGACTATGGGGCCTCTGGCAGTGGAACCAGTATTTAACTCTAGTGCACAAATGGGCTTTGGGAGTCCATTCCCTGTGGAAGAATACTCTCTCAGCCTAGATACACAGGGGAGTCCCTAGGTCCTGCCCCAAATGATGTGGCAGACTTTAGTGATCTCCCATGGGCAGCCTCACCCTCCCTGAGGAGTGGATGGGGGTGGGATGGGGGAATGATGGGAGGAAAGAGAGGACAGAAGGGAGAGGTAGCTAGAATTGGTAAGTAAAATAAGATTGTTTTTAAGTAAAAATTAATTTAAAAAAGGAACCACTGGTCTAGGAAGACAAAGTCAACCTCTCTCTGTGTGTCTGTGTCTGTCTGTCTGTCTCTCTCTCTCAGACACACAAATACAAAATGTGGCAAAAATTAAATAATTTCATTAAGCTTCACTATAAAGGTATATGAACTATAAAGCAATAAATATAAGGTAAAATTAAGAAACATAAGTTAGCAGGAACCAGGTACATTAGCTACTGGAAAAATGTTCAACAAGAGAAAAACAAAAAACCCTTACTATATTCTGGAAAGATAGTTGGTGTATCACACTGTATATTATGCCTCCTTAATGTTCTGTCATTTGAATAAGTTTGAAAAGTATCAGTACATTCAATTCAATACAAACAACTGATATTTTTCTTCATTATTAGATACAAACATTCATAGTTTCCTCTGCCTGTGTTCTCTAAGACACTTCCTCACTCACTCCTCAGTTTACCACAGATACTTTTACCTTCACATTTCCATGACTTTCACAGGGCATGCCTTATTTATTATCTCCAATAACTCTCTAGTAAACTATTAATCATCTAAGGAACAGTTCAGCAGCTTTCCCCAATACCTTTCCAAACAACTTTCTCTGAAAATTAATAACTTCTTCCATACTACTCCCACAGGATTCACTCACTTATAAAATATCTGAGTGTTTCATGTGTTTCAGGAACTATTCCAAGCACTTGAGACAAACAAAGGAACAAAAAAGAACATGAAAGGACCCATTGCCCAGGTTAATATTTGTTTGTTTATCAATCTGATACACCTGGAAAGAGATTGAAAAATTGCCTGGAACAGACTGGCCTATGGGCATGTCTATAGGGCATTTTCTTGATTGCTAATTGACACATGTGGGCCCAGCCCACTATGGATGGTGCAACTGCTGAAATATCATGCTGTATAAAAAGCTGGCTGAACCCATTCATAGGAATGAGTCAGGGAAAACCCATTCTTCCACTGAAGCAAATGTTCTATACCAGTTATTTCCAGTGAGCTCACACTTGCATAAAAAGCACAGAGCTACAATCATAACACAAACAAAAGTATTACTGCATTTCAGCTAAAGTCAAAGCCTTGTTTGCTTGATATCGAGTATATTTAAATCCTACCTGTTTACCTATTTAAATCCTAATTAGTATATTTAAACCCTACCTATTATATCTAGTATATGTACTAGGATATCTAGTATATTTGAACCCTACATATTATTTCTGATTAATTGACCAAATGTCTTGACTATTAGCTATCAAGCATCAACATTTCCAGAAAGTATGTTTTCATGTATAATCAATAATTGAGAGGGATTAATAAAGGATATTTGAAAAAAGTAAATAGCTGGCTGAACATGAACTGGGAGCAAGCTAGAGAGCAGGTGGTAGACAACTTCTTTTCAGGGTTCAGCTTTTGCTCTTGACTTTGTTCCTGCCCTGACTTACCTCAAAAATGAACTGAGACCTGAAAGTATACATCAAATAAACCCTTCCTCCCCAGCTTTTTTTTTTTTTTGGTCATATTGTTTATCAGAGAAACAAGGATGCAAACTACATATATTATAAAGAAATGATAGAAATGATAATTTAAAGTGATCAATATGCAATAAGTACATTAATTAAAAGTGCACATCACATCAAATATGCAGGAAATAAAATGTATTGTCTAAAAATAATTAAAAATCAATGTCTTTGCCGGGCGGTGGTGGCGCACGCCTTTAATCCCAGCACTTGGGAGGCAGAGGCAGGCGGATCTCTGTGAGTTCGAGGCCGGGCTGGACCGACAGCCTCCAAAACAATACCAAGAAACCCTGTCTCGTAAAAAAAAAAAAAAAAAAAAAGTCTTTTTAGAGCACATTGTTGAAGCTGAAGGTTAAAAGTATGAAAAAGGGAAAAGAGGGGCATATGTGCTTTAATAAAGATCCCTACGTGGCTAGGCAGTGGTGGTGCATGCCTTTAATCCCAGCACTAAGGAGGCAGAGACAGGCAATCTCTGAATTCCAGGCCAATCTGGTCTACAGAGTGAGTACCAGGACAGCCAGGGTTACATAGAGAAACCCTGTCTCAGGAGGTGGTGGGAGTACATCGCCAAGTAATTCAATTTTGCCCTCCCTTCAACTGCTCCAAACCAAGTTGAAGAGCACAGCACTAGAAAATACCATTAAAAAACTGTGACAAAACCCAAAAATTTAGAAAAGGAATACGTAAGACATTGTTATGTTTTTATATAAATTCTTACTTGTTTTGTCCTCTAACTGATTAACTTTATCTCTGGATTCCTCTAGCAGAAATGTTAAATCTTTCATTTTATTTTCTTTCTCAGTTCTTTGGATCAATAGTAGTGATACCTAAAATAAAATTTAAAAAACACTGTAGATGTAGAGAGTTAAAATTATCACCTTAGCATGTATTATCACCTATACTTTATATGCTTATTTTATGTTTTTTATACAGCTCAACCTGTCATTTAATACAAGCTTATAAAATAAATTATTGAATGAATGAGTAAACTTGTTTAACATACTCAATATTAAACTACTCATTTCAAACTTTTAGAGAATATTATATAATGAAAAATGATTCATTCACTCAATAAATGTTATTGAACACTAGAAACTGTATTAAGTATTTAGAAATGAGAAAACTCGCCTTTAAGTAACTCAACACACAACTACACCTGAGCATCACCACCAGTAATAGAACAAAAATATTCTCAAAGCCGGGCGTTGGTGGTGCATGCCTTTAATCCCAGCACTCCGGAGGCAGAGGCAGGCGGATCTCTGTGAGTTCGAGACCAGCCTGGACTACCAAGCGAGTTAGAGGACAGCCTCCAAAGCCACAGAGAAACCCTGTCTCGAAAAACCAAAAAAAAAAAAAATCTCAAAATTAAGAAAGACGAATCTATCTTTTATTAGTATTGATATTAGGGTTTTTTGTTTTGTTTTTGTTTTTGCACTATGTAGCCTTTACTGTACTTGAACTCTATAGCGTCTAATTCATAAAAATCCACTTACCTCTGCTGAGACTAAAGGCATGTGCCCCCACGTCTGGCTAAGAAAGGAGCATCTAAATCAGTCTCATGGAAAACAATACAACTTTCAAAGGGTTAAAATAGTTCTGATGCATAGAAACTAATCAGGCAAGCCAGGCATGGTAACACAGGCCTTTAACACCCGCATTTGGGAGGCAGAAGGAGAATCTCTATGAGTTCAAGGCCAGCCCAGTCTACATAGCAAGTTCTAAAACAGCCAGCACTACGCCGAAAGACCCTGTCTCGAAAGAAAGAAAACAATCAGACAAATGAGGAGAAATGGTTGTTCTAGGCTGATTTAGGAAGACAAACTATTGAAAAATCTTTATTTAGATAACCGATAGTATCCAGATGGTTACAGTTAATGTAAAGAAACAGCAGAAATTAAAGATCCGAACTAGAAAAAAAAAAAGCTAACCTCCCTATTTTTATCTTCAACTCACCTATAAAACAGCCAGAAAAATAACAAAGATAAACTTTTTCTCTACAAAGTCACAAGACAACTATAATCCAAAGCATAATATATAAAAAATGAAAGCAGTTGGAAGAAAGGGAAAATGGATTAACTTAGAAAAATAGGGTAAAGCCAAAGAACTTAGAAAGGGAGAAACTAAATAATGAGAAGCAAGCTAACCCAAAGAGTGCTCAAAATTTTTAATTAGAGGACGCAGACACTTCACTAGATTGACTCAAAACCAAAGACAAAGGGAAAAAAAAACAACTCTGGACTCTACCACCTACCAGCCAATGCCATCAGAGAACTAACCCTGCTCTACCTTTGCAAATGACACAGGCATCCAAACTTTAAAAGACAGTTTGGGGATAGAGCTACTTAGCATACCCAAGACCCTGGGTTCAAGTTCCAGCACCTCAAAACAAAAAAGAGTATCTCTAAAATGGATATTGCAAAGGAGTATACTTACATAAAGGGTATAAAAGATAGAATGGAAAAGTCAGCATAAAAATAAGAACACTCAGCTGACCTTTCCTACACTGTCAAGCTCTGCTTCATAATGTTATCTGTCACATTTCTATCCCCATGAAGGAATTTAGAATGTCTGAAAAAAATCTTACAAACAATGGTATTTACAAACCCATAGAGAAAACACTAGCAGGCCAATGACTTAGCAAGAAGGTTCAACAATCTAAAGGCTCTAACATGGCACCAAGAATTCCAAAATGATCCTTTTTATCATTTTAGTCCATCTTTACATTTTATGAAATAAGCACAATCTTAAAAGAAGACTTCCTTCTCCTGGAAATCTGGTTTAAAAATAAAGTTAAAATATAAAAAGATTGCTTAAAGACTTTCACACAATATAAACATAGCTTACAACTAAAATATCTTTCAATCACAATTTTAACTCTAAGTATCCTTTCTGCACTTCTAATTTTTATTATTGTTTAAATATATACCCTCCTTAACTATGATTACAAGATATCTTCTGGAAAATCAGAGAAGGTAGGAAGACATAAAAGAGGATCCCTTCCTCCTTTATGAGACAAGGTCTCTCTATGAAGGGCTGCCTATCCTAGAACTCGCTGTGTAGACCAGGCTGGTCTTGAATTCACAAAGTTCTGCCTCCCTTTGCTTCATAAATATGAGGACTAAAGGAGTGCACCACTATGCTCAGCTAGGATCCCCTATTATATATCACTTTCTATTCATCATGAAAAAGAGATAGCAATATAAACCTAAATTAAGGTTCTTGCAAACATCAGAGAATACAGACTTACCATTTCAAGTCTTCCATTAAATGAATTATTAATAGAAAGAGGCAACAGAATGTTTTAGTTTTCTTTCATCAGTGTTATAGAGATTAATTTCAAAACAAATTGCAAAATGTGCAGTTATCAATGATCATATTTACATTAGGGTATTTTTGTTTGAACAAAATTTCTCATATTTTTTCAGCAATGTAAACTAATTTAAACATTTTAGAGTCATTGATTCAAAAACACTGAAGGCTGACCTAATAAGTGCATAATTGAGTCATGAAAATTAAGCAAAAGGCAAAATATCTGAATATATAATATTAAAATATATAAATTATCTCATGTCAGCAAACACAATGATTTCAATATTTTAGGTATTTTATAAAGTAGCAAATATAAAGAACGTAGCATTAATCTCAGAATAGTTAGGATTTAAATGAACCTACTATAAAATTTAAGTGATAAATATGCTAATTAACCTATTATCACTATTCAATATGGACATAAACCGAAACATGACACTATACATCATAAATATGTATAAACATTATGTATTGATCAAAAATTATGAGTTCATTTTTAAAAGAATATAAATAGCTGGTTATTTTTATTTTTAAAACCTGATTTTCCTTGTCGTTTACTTCCTTCTTATATTCTTCTTGAAGGTGTTGAATTTTTTCATGATCTTCCTTTACTTTAAAAATAGAATAAACCTTGTCTTAACACAAATGTACAACTTTTCCATGACCAACAAAATTTAAAGATTTCATTTCCTTGTTTATCTCAAAATTATACTAAACCTCAAAAGTTTCTAGTACACTAAAACTGATATTTTCTTTCTGCCAATTCTGTTTAGTAAAATAGTGACTATATACAGTATCAAAGTTATAGATTAAAGTCCTATAGCTCTTATAACAGCACTTACAAAAAACTTTGTTCTTTATATAATAGTTACATCAAGTATCAAATCTTAGATATATATCTTAATAACTTACCAAGAAATATATAAGGAAGGCAAAACTATGCCTCTAAAAAATCTAAATACAAGCTATAATAAATATTTCATAGAAAAGGTGGTTTCAAAACCAAGAGAAACTTTAACATATATATTTCCTGCCACAATCAACAAGATTTTGAGGAGCTTACAAAAGCAAAGACATGAAATTAAAGGGATATAAATATTAATAGAATCTAATAAAGCATACATAGCAGAAAAGCAACATGAAAAGTTAAAAAGGAACCCTACACTTAAAATGCATATCCAGTCTGGCATTCTCAGCTTGCACACGAAGTTCCTCAAAAGCTAGTATCATTTTCTAGAATACAAAGTTTAACTTTTAAAATGAGACTTTTTTAAAACTTTTAAAATGTTAATAAATTTTACTACATAATTATTGGATATAAATCATACAACTTTTAAAACTGCAAACAGATACATGTTATGTCTATAATGAAGTCAATGTGATACCTTAGCTGACAAAAGTATCAGCTAACTTTTCAGCCTGAGTTTGGTCCTTGGAATCCATATGGTAGAAAGAAAGAACCAATTCCAACCACTACAAGCACCCTGTGGCAGACAGAGACAGACAGACAGAGACAGACAGACAGACAGACACACACACACACACACACACACTATTTTAAGTTTTAATGACTATGCCTAAGAGATCCATAAAATAAAAATACCTCCAACCTGTAAGCCCCTTGCCCAAAGACAGATAATTCCTGAAATGCTGGAGGCTATTATTTATGGCACAAAATTAGCCATGTTTTTTTCAATCCCCTAAACAAGCTTGACTCTACTAGATGTGCTTGATCACATGTAGGCAGTATAGTGAAAATTTCAACAGATCCACTGTATCTGGCTTTGAAGTCATCTTTTGGAAATAGTGATTGTTATCTATCTTTTGAAGGAATCACAGAGCCTTTGTACAACCTACTCCTAAGACATAAACCAAGAAGTTTAGTAGGGCTGAGAATTGCTTAGGTAATGGCTCCTTCAAACAATTACAGATAAGAGGTTTTACTATTCAGAAACTAACTTACTAAGGGTGTCTTCTCTTGTGTAACAATAAAGAGGCTTTTTTTGTGAAGCCATGAGGCAGTCACTACATCAGAGGTTGATTCCTCTGCTGCTGCTAAGCCCTTAAACATGCTGGAGTGACTCTCTTCAACTGATCAGAGTAACACAGAACACTGACAGGAAGGAGGTACATGAGCAGGAAATATGTCAGGATGTATGCTTGCCCCTGATAAGATGTAGGCAGGAGGTACACAGGCAGGAAGTGCATCAGGATGTGTGTTTCCCCCACCGGACCTGGTGAAAAGCCTTATGGATTTGCCATGTTAAGCCTCAGCAAAATATGACTAGTTACCATTTCCTGGGAACCCTGGAATGGACCTGGCCAGAATCCATCAGCCTGCCCAGTATTTAAATAAAGTTTGCTTCAAATTTGTCTTAAAATTATAGTGATCTTATTCTCACCTGGTGGAATTAATATTTTGTAGAGGCCTCTGTGAGAGTCAAACCAGCCAGAGCTGAGGGAATTGCCTTTGAGGCACTCCAAAGCTCCAAGGCTGCCTTCTGTTTGCAGACTATCTCTATGAACTACTATGTTGAGAAATGCAGCAAGATCTACAGAGGACTCCTAGTGAGGCAGTCTGGTCTGGTCTGCTCCATGGGTTCTAGATCTGGGACCCCCAATATTCTCCTCTCCAATGCAAATAGTGTGACATCACCCTCATGCCTGATTCTGATTGGTTATAAAGTTTTGTCTATTTTTTGTATGTGGATGGGTCTGTGTTTTCTGGTGTGTACATAAGTTTTGTTTCAAATGTGGAACTCAGACAGAATTGTGAATATATAAATGTATGGTGGCAACCACATTCTGACTTGTTTTCTTTGAATGTGTGAACTTACTGTGCTATTTCTCTTGCTGTGAGGTATGCAGGCTCAGAATTTATCTCTAAGCTTTCTGTCCACTTGATCTAATGTAGTAAGGATTCAAATGTCTTTTGGATATGCATAATATTAAAGTTGTTTTATGCTGTTCTATCTTACTGAGAAGCTGGCTCTGGAACTGGGTTATGGCTTTCCCTTTCTCAGACCCAGGCATGCTTTTAAAGTCTCCATGTCTGGGTCATGAGCTATGACAGGGAGAAAAGAGCAAGGCTGGTTGCATTTACTTGCCCAGCACTATTATATGAACTTTCTGTATCTCGAGATTTGTAAGTTTATTGGGTATCGTTAAAAATCTACATCTTTAACAAAAAAGTTAACTTAACCCAGGCAATGGTGGCCCTCGCCTTTAATCCCAGCACTTGGGAGGTAGAGGCAGGCAGATCTCTGTGAGTTCCAGACCAGCCTGGTTGCCAACATACATTTATACAAGACAGCCTCCAAAGCCATAGAGAAACCCTGTCTCAGAAAAAAAAAGTTACTTAAAATTTATAATGAGGTTGACAGTTAATAATAAAGGAACCATATGGCACGATTCCATTTTGGGATATAAGCAACACGTGGTCTGCCATCATCTATAGGTAGCCACCTTTGCTAGTGTTGGAGAGGGCAGATGTCATGTGACTTCACTGCCTTCTTGATTAAAGGTAACCCACATGGTGTGGCCCAACAAACAAGAAAACACACCTCCAGGATACTTTAGATTAGAATGGATTTTTTATGATAATTCCTGTCCTGTACTGAAAACAAGGTTTATGATAGACAGGACTTTAAAATAATGCTTGTTTAATAAAAATAAAGCTGTGCCTTCATGCAATCATACACAAGAATGTACTTTGCATTGGCAACCAAACTTTGTAACATAAGTGTCACCCAGGTGGTATTTATACATAAAAAGGATCTTGGAGATCCTTGGCAGAAGCTTGCCACTGTGTGGTAGGGCTGGACTTCCTAAAGAAAGCCTAGTTGCAGCTGGGGACCCTATCAGTTTTGGAGATGCCAGTATCATGTAATAGTCACCAGAAATACCAGTTGCAATGAAATGGAGTCTGCTAGAAGATCCTAGAAGGTATGCTATGTATGCTGCCAAAGTGGGACTAGACAGATGACCTAAATCCCTTGGGAAAGCCCAAAGGATTATAAATTAATCCTGGTACTAAACATTGAATTATTTGCATGTTAGAGCTTGATTTTGCCCTGTATACATTGTATCTTCCCTCTTGAAATAAAAAGGGTATTATTTTTTATATTGTAGGAATTAAGAAACTTTAAACTTCTTTAAGAGGAAATTTTGGCATGTTACAGAAAACTTAAATTTAAAAAACCAATATTTTAAGGAACAGATTTTAAATTTAAGTTTATAAAATCTTCATATTATTAATACATGGTCATGGATGGATGGATGACTAAAGAATTAGGGCCGTAGTTATGAGCATCCAACACTAAATACCAGAAACTGGGATATTCCTATCTTATGATTCTTATCTTATACATATCTTATGAAAACAATGACCTAAGCAGTCTGGCAAAGAGTTCAGAGCAGCAGTTTTTGAGGGTCAAATACCCTTTCACAGGAGTAGTTTAGGACTATCTGCATGTTGAACTTTTGCACTGTAATTGATAACAATGGCAAAATTGTTGTTGTGAAATAGTAACAAGAGTGATTGGGGGGGTCACCACAACATGGGAAACTATGTCAAAGGGTCATGGCATTAGGAAGGTTGAAAAAACTGGCATAAAGAATGTCTCTCCTTACCTAACGTCTATTCGGGCTTAAGAATTTTGTCTAGTCTCTTTGTCTTTGCTAACTTTGTTAAGCCTTAGCTACTTTAATAAACTGAGTCATATAAGAAACTGTTATATCCTGTAATGGTGTACTTATAAAAGGATCAAGAAAGTTCCCAGTCTCTCTTTAATCTGTATTTATGAGTTAAAATCTTGATACTAAAAAAGCTTCAATTCAGAAATTGTTATTTTTTTTAAGTCTACACTTAACAGCTATAAAATCCTAATCTTAAAAGCTACTAACTTATTGCAAACTGTTAAAGATAATTAAGACATGCAAGTTAATGGTAAGTCACCTCATAATGGATCAAATTCTTTAATGGAGTCATAACTATATTTATAGTCATGCTAAGTACTAATGTAATTAATTACAAAAATAAGCCTTATTTAGCCTCCTGTATATTTTCAAGGTTGAGCATACAAGTAGTAACTAAAAACAAGCAAAGTTTGTTTAGATCAGACATACTTAATAGATAATGGTTCTGAAATTTATCAGATACCTCCTGAATATAGCATTTTTAAATGTTTAATAGAAAAATTTAACTATGACAGAGACCCCTAACTCCTAGCAATGACCCCAAGGGTCTTCAAGAAAATGATGGGACATGACCACAACTCTATCTGGGTTATGGTAAGGCCAACCACTGTGCAGATAGGACTATCCCAATGCCTCACTTGCCACCAAGACCCAGCTCAAACTGTGGACAAACAGGATACTCTTGAGTTGGTTATCCTACTTTGCCTAGACAAAGGTCAGTCCCCCATGTTCTTCTTCCACAGGAAAGACTCTTATTTTCCGGGCTTGGTGGCCTAATACTGATGCTGTCCTGGAACTTCTACCCCAAACAAAGTCATGGAGACCACAGGAGCTGGTGGGGTGGTGACTGTCTAGGTAATGGGCAAATCTGTCATTTTAATTGATGCATGGACCATATGGATTATACTCCCTCCTATGACTTCCTTCTCAGATCTCTGATGGCACTGACAGCTAGCTTTATCAGTCTGGCAGCAGCAGGCAATCTGCTCCCTGTCCCCAAGACTATAGCCACCTAATTAGTCCATTTCATATGTAAAAATCAAGTCTTGCTTTTTTTCTGGAGCTATTAGGTCTCCTGTTGAGAAAAGTCACACAAGTTTGTCTGCTAACAGGCTTCATATTAAAAGATAAGCAGGTTTCAGATTGTCTTAGTTGGGGTTCCTATTGCTGTGAAGAGACACCACAAGCACAGCAAATTTTATAAAGGAAAAACATTTAATTTGGGTGACATACAGTTTCAGAAGCATCCATTATCATCATGATGAGAAACATGATGACATGCAGGCAGGCATGGTACTGGAGAAGGAGTTGTGATGGGAGAAGGAGTTCTGCATGTGTTTCTCTTATTGGTTGATGAATAAAACACTGATTGGCCAGGAAGTTGGGTGGGGTTAGGAGAGGAGGAGAATGCTGCTGGGAGAGGCATAGAGGAGCCTCAAGGAGATGCCATGTAAAGACTGGGAAGATAGGATATGCCAGGCATTCTCTGGTAAGATAAGGCCATGTAGAAACACATAGATTAGTAGCTGTGGATTAATAATTAGAGGGAGAGCTAGCCAGTAAGAAGCCCTAGACATTGGCAACGTGTGTTTATTTGGGGCTGAAGCAGCTGTGGGACCAGGTGGGACAGAAACCTCTGTCTTTAGAGCTGAGACTTTTGCATGTTGATCCTCAGGCAATGGGAAGTAAACTGAGACACTGGGAGTAGCTTGAGCATATATAAGACCTTAAACCTCCCTCCCACAAATACACTTCCTCCAACAAGGCCATACCTACTCCAACAAAGCCATACCTTTTTTATTTTTCAGATTGTTTTTCTTTTATTTTTGAGATTACAGTATAATTACATTATTTCCCTCTTTTTCTTTCCTTCCTCCAATCTCTCACATATATCTCTCCTTGCTAAAGCCATACGTCTTAATATTGTCATTCCCTATGAGCTTATGGGAGCCAATTACAAACTATCACACAACTGTAACTTTTTACCATTCCCCTATTTAAAAGAATTTGCATTGTACTCCCAGCAATCTATGAGGGTGTTCTCCTAGCAATAGGGGATACAGAGCCTGAACTGGCTATCTCCTGTAACCAGGTAAGACTTCCAGTAGAGGAATTGGGACATCAACCCAGCCACATAACCTTCAACCTACAATCTGCCCTACCTACAGGATGTGCAGGGGTAAAGATGGTACAGAAATTGTGAATGGGCAACCAATGACTGGCCAAGCTTGAGACCCATACCATGAAAGGGAGCTCACCCCTGAGGGTCAGAACCCAGAGATGGGATACCCCAGAGACCTAGAATAGAACAAAATATGGTTGGAAAGGAAGGAAGGAAGACACAGACAGACAGAAAAGAAAGAAATCAACAAAATGATTCCTAATGATACTCTGCTATACTCAGATTAGTGCCTAGTCCAACTGTCATCAGAGAGGTTTCATCCAGTAACTGACAGAAACAGATGCAGAGACCCACAGTCAAACATTAGACAGAGCTTGGGGAAGGATTGTAGAAGCCAGTGGAGTCAAAGATACCACAAGAAAACCTATAGAATCAACTACCCTGAGCTCATAGGGACTCACTGAGATGGAACCAATAACCAGAGAGCCGGCATGTGACTGCCCAAGGCCCTCTGCAAATATGCTACAGTTGTGCAATTTGGGTCTTCTTGTGGAACTCCTAACAGTGGGAACAGGGGCTATCTCTGACTCTGTTGCCTGCTTTTGGGAGATCATAAGTGGGTGGGTCTGTTTTTTAAAGGGGACCTTTGCACCTTCGTGCAGACTAGTAGTCATGGAACCCTGGGCTGACCAGAGTACTGCCTGAGTGCATTCTGCTAGGTGACAGGGGCAGGCCAGCATAATGTCTGAATCCTTAGAAAGGGACTCCAGGTAAATGCAGCCTAAGTTTCCCCATCTGCCTATTCCTGAGAATTGGATCTCTTTCCTGGTTTTAGGACTCTTCCCCTAATCAGACCCTGGGCCTGAAAGTTCCAAATGTAAGGTTTTCCTTTAAATTATTAAACTTCTGTCCCTAATCTGTATCTGTAGCAGAAGATTTCCACTTGGCTGAAAGACACCATCCAGGAATCAGTTGCAGAATGCTAACTACTGAGCTCTGGATTTGCTGAAAGCTGATTATGAACCACTTCAGCCAAAGTGATTGATCCCTGTCTCTTCAGCTAAGTCAGCCAGCCAGAATATTCTGATGAACACCCATTTCCTGATTCCAGTAGTTACAAAAGAGACTGTCTCCCTTTGTCCCCAACAGGTTGAAATACTAAGTCTAAAGGAAACTTTCTGGCATAGGGGACAAAAAATAGCTACCTAAGCAGTATCAATTGTCATACCAGGAAAATGGGCCCAGATCTAACAACAGGTAGATTCATTCACTGGAATATTTCTACAATATGATGGGACACTTGACCTGCTCTAGGTAAAACAGAGAGGTTATTGTATAACCTTAAGAGAAAATTGTTGTTTCTACACAAGCTATTTGGGACTAATTACAGATAACCTGGCTGTACTCAAAGAAACATTACAAAACAGAGAGACCTGAGATGAAATAAGCAACTGGTGACCATTCTCATTTCCAGGCTCCTTTTAGATAGTAACCCTGATGTCAGTCATTTCAGAGCCTTGGACTCTCTGTGTCTACTAATTCCTGTTGGCTCTTGAATCATTAATACCTTAACTAGATGATAATTCCTATCTGGGTATCAATAAGCTGATGGTTACTAGATCCCAATATAAATAGGTACCTATCACAGAATCAAGGATTTGACTCAGGATACAACCAAAGGGGGTAATGTGAGAGCCAAATGCCTCCAACCCTTGCCCAAGGACAGACACTTCCTGAAATGCTAGAGGCTATTGTTTATGGCAGATAACAAGCCATGTTTTCTGTTCCCCTAAACAAGTTTATTTGACTTCATCTGTATTCAATGTGTTTGATCACATATAGATGGGAGACACGTGGGCAAGAAATATGTCAGGATGTACGCTTGCACCTATTGGATGTTAGCAGGAAGTATGAAGGTAGGAAGTATACATCAAAATGTGTGCTTGTCCCTGACTGGACCTGGCAGTAAGTACAGTGGCCTTATGGGATTGCTGTTTTAAGCCTCTGCAAAATGTGACTAGTCACTATTTCCTGGGAACCCTAGATTAGGCATGGCCAAAGTCTGGACAGTATGTAATTAAAGCTTGCTTCAAACTTAGCTTTAAATTGTGGTAGTGGTCTTATTCTTGCCTGGTGGGATTAACAATATAATTATATGTATTAAGCGCTGGAAAGATAGCTCAGCAGTTAAGAGCACTGGCTGCTCTTCCGGAGGACCTAGGTTCAATTCCCAGCAACCATATGGCAGCTCACAACTGTCAATAACTCCAGTTCCAAGTTATATGACACCCTCGCACAAGCAAATGTGCATATAAAATAAAGATTTTAAAAACAAATTATATGTATTTAATATTTACATATATGTATGCATGTAAAAATATTATAGAATGCCTAATGTCACATAACACTGAACAACATCTAAGTAAATATTGTCACTCTAATCTCTTTTTTTTAAGTGTTACACAGATAGTACACACCCTTATACCTAATGTATTTAAATTGTTTTTCAGAGAACAAAACCTTAAAATATGCATACAACTCTATAATTACAGGTAAATTCCACCTATTTAGTTATAAAATTATGAGTGTAATGTGGTCATTATTTCTTGAAAGCAAATAATATGATCGCACTACAAAAATGTGAAATCCTACATGTTAATTACATTCTGTCATTCCATAAAGTATACATATATATTTCAAAGGATCAAGTGGTGGACAACAGACATGTAATTTTTTTTGCTTTATATTTTATTTTACTTTCCAACCACAGTTCTCCGTCTCATACCTCCTCCTGCCCCCTCTGATCTCCCTTGCCTCCTCCCCAGCTCCCAAGCCCAGTCCACTCCTCCTCATGGGTAAAGCTCTCACAAGGATCACTCTATTCTCTTAATAACCACATTTTAACATACAATAGTCTCCTGCCACAATCCACAAAATTTTGAGGGGCTTACAAAAACAAATAATAGGCTCAAAATTACCATGTTAACTTATCTGCGCTTATTAAATTTCTTTCTTCCCCACTAACATGAGGCAACCTCATAAGAATTCAAAATTATATTCAAATCACTTGATAGTACACATTTACTCAACTTCAATAAATTTGCTTTACAAAAATCAAATTATTTTATTCATACATTCATCCCCTAAATATTTACTGAGTGCCTATTATGTGTTTGGAACTATTTTAAGCATGTAGGATATAACACAAAACCCACTGTACTGGAAATTTTATACTGAATATGATAAAGAATGTACACACATACAAAATAAAAATGTGTGTATCACACAAGTGTCATGAAGTTTTAAATACTTTTCATAAAAGTTAAATGAAATAGCGAGATAGAGAATAACTGAATAATGATGTTTAGTACAGTTAGAAGAAAAAAAACAATGTTCATAAGCACACATAAGAGCTTGAAAATACAGGTTATGGAAAGAACAAAGAATCAAAATCAGAAAGTATCTTATAAAGCTAAGAAACAAAACAGAAAAATATTATAGCATAAAAACAAAGCAGTGAATGGCAGAAGACAAAAGTAAGCACGAACAAAATACAGGTTAGTAATACTCAACTTTTTATATGTCACAATTTGCTGGTCTCTGACACAGAGAAGCCAATAAATATTTAATACTGCTAACATGTTAATTTAAGAGGTTTTACAGAATTGGAGAGGTGGTTTTACAGTGAAATCAGTTGCCATATAGAAAGAGGACCAGAATTTGAATCCCTTGAACCTATATAAATTCTAAGTGGGAGTGGTAGCCTGCCTGTAATTCCAGTCTTGGAAGGCAGACCCAGGCGATCCCTGAAGCAAGCTGGTTAGGGAAATTAGCCATATCAGCAAGCTCTAGGTTTGATTGAGATGTCCCACTTCAGATAAGGTGGTAGAGTATAGAAGGGAAATTCCTAATATCAACCTTAAGCTTCCATATATACATGCACAGACATGTACCCATACATATGTAAACACACATGCACGCACACATGTCAACACCACACATACATATACAGGAAAGAAAGAGAAGGAGGAAAGCTCCTACAATCCAGCAGGGTGTTACACACATCTGTAATCTCAGCATTCAGAACACTAAGGCCTGAGGATGGTGAGCCTCGACTACATAGTGAGACCATGCCTCACATGCCCCCTCCAAAAAAGGCTACTATATACAAAACATTAGTTAGTATTCATAGTTTAGAACCTTAAGAGTTTTACTGGTGATTCAATCATGCATAAATTAAATAATGATCTTTTATCAATTACAGTTAAGAACTCTGTAGCTATCACTCTGCTTAGAAATTCTTTACTTAATATAATCATACTTTTACTAACACTTACCTCAATGTTATTATTTAGATCCACATAAACTTGTCTGGTTTCTTCCCGTTCATATTCATCTGTAATTATCATTAAAAACTTCAAAATTAAATTTTAAAATATCAACAAGATAATACTTATCTCAGAAAAACATTAAAACACAAAATTGTGGCTATATAATTTAGTTCTGAGTTTCTCAAAATAGCATCTAGGTTTTGGTCTGTTATGCAAGAAGCTTGGAAGTTTCTATTCCATAAGAAAGAAATAAAATAAACTGAAAATTGTTTGACCCAAAAGAGAAGAAAGGTCACAGAGCAAGTCACTATCTTCAAAATTAGAGACATGGATAGACAAAACTCACAGTTTACAATTTATCTGAGCTGAAAAGAAAGAACAGAAAACTCTGGAAACCAGAGCCAGCATTTTAAAAAGCAAGACAGAGAGGGAGAGCAAGGAACAAGATGTATACCGGTATCTTGATTTAGAAAACCATTATGGGGCTAGAAACCTGGCACTAGGGAAATTCCTAGGAATTCACAAAGATGATCCCAGCTAAGACCCTAAGCAATAGTGGAAAGGGTGCCTAAACTGGCCTTCACCTGAAATCAGACCTAATTGTCATTACAGAACCTTCATCCAACAACTGATGGAAGCAGATACAGAGATCCACAGTTAAGCACTGAGCTGAGCTCCTAGAGTCCAGTCAAAGAGAAGGAGGAACAATAATATGGGCAAAGGGGTCAAGACAATGATGGGGGTACCCACAGAAGCAGCTGACTTGAGCTGGTGGGAGCTCACTGACTCTGGACTGACACTGGGGAACCTACATAGAACCAAAGTAGGCCCTATGAAAGCAAGTGACAATTGTGTGGCTTTGGCAGTCTGTGAGTTACTGGCAGTGGAACCAGGATTTATCCCTAGTGCTTGAACTGGCTTTTTGCAGCCCATTCTCTTTGGAGAGATACCTTGCTCAGCCTAGATGTAGTGGGGAGGGACTTGGTCCTGCCCCAAAGTGTTGTGCCAGACTTTTTTGACTCCCTGGAGAAGCCTTAAACTCTCCGAGTGGATAGGGGGTAGGGTCGAGGTAAAATAGGGGGAGCAAGAGGAGGGGAGGAAATGGGACTGAGACTGTATGTATGTAAAATGAGAAAAGATTGTTTAAAAAATAAATAAAAGCAAAAACACCTGAACTGTAATTGGTATTGCTAGTCACTCAATGTGAATAAATTCAAGATAAAACCTTCAAAGGGATAGGAGTAGTAGGCACAACATCCTTACAAGTTTAATTTCTTAAAATTTTCCTAGGTTCAGAGAAACATCATCTCATGTTCCAACAAGAGGAATGAAGAGAGGCTATTTGAAATACACTAAAAGCATCCTGTTCTTAATAGAGCTTCCTGTGGGAAAAACTATTTAACCAGGGCTAAAACAGACTTACTGACCTGGGGGAAGGAGAACGAACTGATTCCAGTCCTCTAAACAGAAGAATAAAAATACACTATTCTAACCACTCTAGACTACCCACATAGGAGAAGAAAAGGAAGAAAGTAAAGTGAGGGAAAAGGAAAAGGAATAGAAAGAGGGGGGAGCCGGGCGGTGGTGGCGCACGCCTTTAATCCCAGCACTTGGAGGCAGAGGCAGGCGGATCTCTGTGAGTTTGAGGCTGGGCTGGACCGACAGCCTCCAAAACAATACAGAGAAACCCTGTCTCGTAAAAAAAAAAAAAAAAAAGAAAAGAAAAGAAAAAAGAAAGAGGGGGGAAAGAGAAAGAAGGGAAGAAGAGAAAAGGGAAGGGGAAAGGGGAAGAGAATAGAGACAACAGAGGGGAGGGAAGGAGAAGGAGAGGAGGAGAGGGGAGAAGGTGAAAGGGATTTATAAAAGGGAAAATACCAAACTGGAGCACACTCTAGCCATTTTGTATCTTGTCTGACCTAAAGGGAAAGGAAACTACTTAAAAAATTCTTACTTAACTCACAGGCAAGGATTTACGAAAAGACTGAGGTCTAATCACAGGTCTACAGAATATTTCCAGCACCTCTCCCTATCCTCTATTCAATACAACTGTAACTGAAGACCAATTGGTATCAGTTCCATGTCCAGCTGTAAAGTAGTAAGGCACAAGAACAGCAAAAAACACAGAGCAAACATCAGAACAAGGACTACATAGGACAGAGATGATAGGAATTACCCCATACACATAAAAAATGGTAAGTATAATATAATTTTAATGAAAAACAAAGAGAAAGCTTCAGAAAGAAACAACAGAATAAAACTGTGAGAAAGTTATAAAAGATGAAATTTATGCATAAGTAAACACTAAAAGAAAACAAAAGGACTATTTCAAACAATAGCAAGTAAGAATTTCTCCAAATTAATGTCAGACACTAAACCACATATCCATAAGATTTGAGAACAAAAGCAAGATAAGCACCAAAAGAGAAAAAAGGAAAAAAATGCAACTAATTCTATTATGTTCAAACTATATGAAACCAAAGATAAACTAAAGGGGAAAAAATACCAATGAAGAAACAAAGTAAGAGTTAGAAGTAAAGGTAAATGAGAACATTTTAATTTGCAAGGTTTGGGATCAGAAGACTGAGGCCCAAGGATAGTCAGCCTGGACTAAATGGTGATTGAGAGCTATTAACTCCTATAAGTTGCCCACTGACCTCCACAAATGTACCACAGCAAATGCATGCATGCACACGCACGCATACACACACAATAAATGTGATTTTAATTTTTTAAAACTATTTGTAAACAAAATGAATTTATTGTCAGTAGTCAAGCTTCAAAAATGTACAAGTTCTTTAGAGAGAAGGAAATAATATGGGTAAGAAACTCAGATCTATATAAAGACAAACACCAAAGAAGAAATACATGAATGTAAATTTTTTTAAATTACTCAGTACTAGGACCGAACTTAGGGCCTTAATTATGGTAGGCAAACATTCTCACTAAGCTACATTCCCAGGCGTTCACTTTTTTAAGAAAGGGCTCACTATGTAGCTCAGGCTGGCCTTGAACTCATCAAAATTCTGCCTCTACCTCCCAAGTCCTGTAATAATAGGGAAGTGCCACCATGCCTTTGTTATTCTTAATGCAATCCATGTGGGTTTTACTGAGTGAGTCAATAAATGAGGGGTAAGTGAATGTGAAGGCTTAGAACAGTACTACATACTGATGACTTTATAAACATTGTCCATTTGGACTACACTAAATTTGCTTTAGTTTTTTTCTTTGATAATAACCTAAGCTTGTTGCAGCTATTTTACTTTATAAATTTTAACTTTTTATAAGACTCAAAACAAAATATTGTACAGCTATACAAAACTATTTTTTTTATCCTTATATACTTTTCTTTCTTGGTCTTTTGAAACAGAATTTCACTACATAGCCCAGGCTGGCTTCAAACTTGCAATCTTTCAGCCTCAGCCTCCCAAAAGCTAAGATTAAAAGCATATATCACCATGCCTACTGTTTTCTTTTTTTTTAATTTTTTGAACTTTCTGCTTAAAAATCAAGATATATATACACACAAATTTATCTGAGGCATACACAGTATCGAGATAATAAGCATCACTGTATTCTATTTCCACATCTTGTTCCATTGGAAGGTTTTTAGGAGTAGGAACACACATGGAGCTATCTATCATTTCCTATGATAACAATGTCCTCTTCTATTCTAGAATACCTCTGAAGGACCTGCTTGAGGCTGTTTTAAAGTTAACTTTTTTGTGTGTGTGGAAGTACACTTTAAATAGAAACCTAAAATATAGGCTAGAAAATGTAAAAAGCAGTAATATACTCAATTATCAAGTATTATATAATTAATATGTTATATACTTCCATACAACTGGCTTATTTACAGAAGCACTGCTACAAATTATTGTACACTACAGTGTTACAAAGGCTCCATTACTAGATGAAAATTTTCAATTCTTCTGTATTCTTATGGTACCAATGCCTTAATGTAGTTATAAAATGTATTACTATACCATGCCTACCCCACAGCATTATTTCCTATTATGGATATGGATTTGTATCTTCTTGATTCAATGGCACGGTAGTTCTACACAGAAAAGGCTACTGTTAAAATCACACTTGAAGTGAGTATTAAACTGCTTATTTATTACCTTTAAAAAGTTAGCTACTACTTACATAAAAAAATAAGGTCTGAGACATAAAATTCAATAAAATCAAAATTAATTCTAAAAACTTAAATTTCTCCTGTCTCCACCATTAAATGAGTAATAAATTGATACAACCACATAAAATAAGAAAGATACCTACATTTATTTGTCTTTTCTGCAGATCTAGCACAGGTTTCCTTAAGCAGATTACATAAATGTCTTGTAGCATTATTCCTGAAGAAAAAAAGTTTCCCTGAGTGTAATCTAATCTCAAAGCAAAATAATACATGAAATTACAGACATATAGTTACAATTTTAAACATTTTATTTTGTATATACCATGTATCACACAGTTAACAATTATATCAAGAAAAAGTAGAACTGGGTGGTGGTGGCGCATGCCTTTAATCCCAGCACTTGGGAGGCAGAGGCAGGTGGACCTCTGTGAGTTCAAGACCAGCCTGGTCTACAGAGCAAGTTCCAGAACAGGCTCCAAAGCAATCCAGAGAAACCCTGTCTCTAAAAACAACAACAACAAAACAAAAAAATTCTTACGTGCACACAGTCAACATTCTCTTTCAGATCAGATTTGGTTTTGCCATCCCCTCACACTTCACCCTAGAAAGGCTTTGCTACTCCCTAGGAAGGGGCTGAGGCTGTGCCCATGTCAAACAATATATATTCACTCAAGACTTTCACCTACTCCCTCCACAACCACTCAGGGCTTTATTTGGCTCCCCACACATTCAAGCAGAAATTATTGTTATGCTATGTATCACAAAGACAATACTCAACAAATTAAAACTATTTTAATAATAAATATGGAAGTAAAATCATTAAGTTACTACTTACTCCTTTATTAAATCTTTATTTTCTTGAATTTCTTCTTCTAATTTCAAGCTTACTTTTTCATTTTCAAACTAATTTAAAAAATATAAAAAGTTAATCACATTTTGTTTAGAAAATCAGTGAGTGTAATCATGAAGCAGGGTTTCTTTATTAACACATTATATAAGTTCTATAAGATTATTTTCTTTCCACATAATAAATTTTTGTAATAGCTTATGAATTATAAATATATGGGTTTCTTTGGAAGGTGGGATGCTATGGAATATTAGTTTGGGATGTGTTAATTTATGTTGTAGAACATTTTGATTAACGATACAAAGATGTGTTGCATTTTTTTATATTGCATTTGTCTGTGAAGCTGTTTTATTCTGCCTGTCTAAAACACCTAATTGGTCTAGTAAAGAACTGAATGACCAACAGAAAGGCAGGAAATAGGTGGGGCTGGCAGGCAGAGAGAATAAATAGAAGGAGAAGAGGAGGGATCAGAAGGAGGAGCAAGATAAGGAGGAGGACTCCAGGGGCCAGTCACCCAGCTAACTACACAGCAAGTCATGGAGTAAGAAGTAATGAAAGGTAAAAGCCTAGAGGCAAAAGATAGGACAATTTAAGTAAAGAAGAGCTGGCAAAAAACAAGCCAAGCTACGGTCAGGCATCATAAGAAAGAATAAGTCTACATGTGTAATTATTTGGGAGCTGGGAGGTGGGCCCCCTAAATAGTAAAGAGCCAAAGAGTAAAAAAGCAACTATGGTGGAAGCATGGGGATCAGGAATTCAATACCAACTTCAATACATACAGTGAATCTGAGGCCAGTTTGAGCTATACAAGACTAAACCCGATCTCAAGAAAGGAGAAGGGGAGTACAAGATGGCTCAGCCAGTTAGTACATATGCTCGATACCTGGCAATCTGAGTTCAATCCTCAAAACCTACATGATATAGGAAGAAGACTGACTCCCACAAATTGTCCTCTGACCTACACACACACACACACACACACACACACACACTCATACCCTAATAAATGTAAAAAGGAAGGAATCTTTCACTTTTCATCAGATTAAAATTTGCTGAAATGGGAAAGAGGGGAGGGAGAGGAAACTGGGATTGACATGTAAAACAAGCCTGTTTCTAATTTAACTTTTGTAAAAAGAAAAAAAATAAAGTATGTGCCCACAAACTGGAAAAAAAAATGCTGAATGACCAGTAAAAGCATTCAATAATATTTAGCACAAATTATTTCTAATAACTTTAAAGTGTATTATCTGCTTCTTTCAACTTTGACTTTTTCTCATTCTATGGTATATCAAAACTAAACAGTTTCAAAGTTTTATGTGGAAGTACAATCTGATATATATCACATCAAATTAGCATTAGTGAGAATTAAAATTTTAAACTTTGTAATAAATTAATGTTATTAAATTGGTTATTATGTAAAATAATCATTCCCTTAATCATCTTCATTGAATTCTGTGGAATTTGTCCTTATTCATTCCTAAAGCTGAACTGCAACTTTTATTAATGCAATTTCAAAAGGCAATAAAATTAATCTAATTTGCTATGAATTAATATTCTATTTCCAACAATATTGTGCCAATATTTACTGTATGCCATACTTTTATCTTTTTTCTTTTATTTTTGATTCAAATAATATTTATTTGCCATATTCGTAATTCAAAAACTTCATTATACCTGCAGTTCCTGAATAGCTTTTCGCTGGGCTTCAATTATCTTTCTGTTTTCTTGCAACTTATTTTCTTTCTGCTTCAGTTCAGATTCTATGCTTACTTTCCACTTTTTGATCTTTTCAGCCTCTTTATACAGCTTTGAATATAGTCTGCTCATTGGCTCTGAATTCTATTTAAGTAAATTTCCAAAAGTTAATTGCCTAAGATTTTAATATAACCAACTACAGTTATCTACCACAAATACATATATATTAATGGTGACAAATTGTGTATTCAATTTATACTCTAACAGGATTAACTCTGATTTCATAGTATCAAGACAGCATATGCTACTTCATTACAATTACTGAATAAATTCAAAACTGAAAAATGCACAAGTTAGAAAAAATTTAATCCTGCTGGGCTTAGTGATGCATGCCTTTAATCCCAGCATTCAGGAGGCAGAGGCAGGCGGATCTCTGTGAGTTCAAGGCCAGCCTGGTCTACAAAGCTACATGGAGAAACCCTGTCTTGAAAAACCAAAAAAAAAAAAAAAAAAGAAAAGAAACTTCACAGGCAGATGCTGGAAAGGTCTGTGAAGCTGGAGAGGACAGAAAAAAAATTTAATCAATGAATCTGACTGGATAAAAGCTAAAATACATCACTCCACATGAAATACATAAATGTTAACAATTATCTTACAGCATTTTGATTAGAGAAATAATAATTTGAAAATTTAGAGTGTGATGTATAAAATACAATGACATGAAAAATATAATATGTAATTTTCAATGAACCTAGGTTTTATTTAGGTTTCTTGCCCTTTTTTATCCACATCATATTATAAATGCCAGAGGAATTTGGGTTTGCTACTCATTTTGGAGCTGGGGACTCGGGGCATCTCACATGCTAAGCAAGTAACATAACTCTAACATGAAGTTATCCTCAAGCTCAATTAAAAAAATAATAAACTGGGCTTTAATCCCAGCACTTAGGAAGCAGAGGCAAGTAGATCTCTGAGAGTTCAAGGCCAGCCTGGTCTACAGAGCATGTTCCAGAACAGCCAGGACTATTATATAGAGAAACCTTGTCTCTAAAAACCATAAATAAATAGGTAGGTAGACAGACCGACAGAGAGAAATAAAACTGATATCTGTTTACTGATAACCTCTTATCAAAATATAAATTGGTTCCAATTTTTTCATTCTATGACACTTGAAAAGCTTAGACATATAGCACTTATCAGGCCACTTGATTTTCATAAATTTAGAAGATACGCTACAAGAATGATTTTTATAATATAAACACTATGGCATATCCTATAAATAAATTCCTTACACAATAAAGCATCCAGATAACAATTTCATTAAAAGATATTTTTGTAACATATTGGCCTTTTCACATATTGCATTCATCTCCACTCCTCTAGTCTTAATTTTTATTTAAAATTAAATTTCCCCAAAAATAATTGATTGCTTTTACCCAGCAAAAATACAAAAGCTTAGCGCTTCAAATACTTTAAGAGGAAAAAAATATTTAGAATGGGGATGCAATTTTGTAGTAAAACAGTTACCGAAAATGCATGAGGCTCTGATTTAGTCTCCAGAACCACCAAAAGATTTCAAAGAATACACTTTAAAATAGAAACCAAATATTAATACTCAAAAAGGTATATTCAAATAATGAAATTCCAATAATAAGGAAATATCTGACCTCAAAATCAGAGTCGTTTAGTCCTTCCTGATAGTGGCAACTGCCAGAATTAGCAACCTAAAAAATTAATATTTCCTGTAAGATTGTATTTTTAGAGCTAATAACAGTTAAATATACAAGCCCATGTGGCCAGCAAGCTGGCTCCATGAATAATGGCACTGAGCATAATGATAACCTGATCTGAATCCTGGGTCTGCAAGTTGTTGCCGGACCTCCACACATATACCACACTATATGCACACGTATATACATGCAAATACACACAAGCACATATATGCATAAATGAATGTAATAAAAATTAAAGTGCACAAGACTACTAATTCCACAACTACCAATCTTTTCTTCTTCAAAAATTCAATGTCTAGCAGATTGTATGTACACACTTTCACTAACCTGTTCAAGCATTGGCAAAATGCTAAGTTTTTGTAAAGCAGGATCTGAAAAAAAAAACTGGTATTAAAAATGAGAACATGTGCCAGACGGTGGTGGCGCACACCTTTGATCCCAGCACTCGGGAGGCAGAGGCAGGCGGATCTCTGTGAGTTCGAAGCCGGGCTGGTCCAACAGCCTCCAAAACAATACAGAGAAACCCTGTCTCGTAAAACAAAAAAAAAAACAAAAAACAAAAAACAAAAAGAGAGAGAACATGTTTTATATTATTTTATCTAGTTGAATGATAAGAATATCAATGTAAGCCGGGCGTTGGTGGCAGATATCTTTAATCCCAGCACTCAGGAGGCAGAGGCAGGTGGATCTCTCTGTGAATTCGATGCCAGCCTGGTCTACCAAGCGAGTCCCAGGATAGGCTCCAGAACAATACAGAGAAACCCTGTCTTGAAAATCAAAAAAAAAAAAAAAAGATATCAATGTAATACTTACACTGTATTTTCAGTAACTAGCAATGTATATAACAAAATGTGTCTATGAAAGCTGATATACTCTTTGTCCAAGCCTACCTGTATCAATGTTTTCTCGACTTTTTGAGAGACTGGACATTGTAAATGGAACAACAAAATCACCTTCCGTACATTTGTTGGCAGCCTAGAAATACAAAGAGGTGCCTAAAATATTCTGTTCAATACCACTTTGATAACTAACAGTATAATACACAAATATATAATATCCATATCTACTTAAAGAAGCCACTATAATTATAAATCCTTTGATGTATAGTGTTTAAAATATCAAATGCTTCTACTATGCAAAGTAAAATTTTTAATTATGCATTTCTCCTAGTAAGATGTATCTAAGCTATAAATTACCTAATAGAAGCTTTGTAAATATTTTGGAATAATATCAGTAATTTTAACAATTTCCTTCAATTGAATTGAGATGTATCTTCACTGCATCAAATTTCAATAATATGTCTTGGCGACAGCAGAAATTTTCTGCAGCATGTAAAATTAAAATATTAACTATATTACCCTTACTTCCATATTCCACTTAAGAAAATTAATATAAAAAGCTGCTTCACCTGAGAAATCTGGTGTAATTTTTTCAATTAGAATTTTAGTAATAAATGAATTTCTCTTTTACCCTATATACCAGGAAGCTCAGTCACAATATTACTATCCACATATAGTCATTTGTCTAAATAGTCTTAATTTTCCTTTGGTAAAATTCCTAATTTTATCGTATTTTTTTCCTTATAAATTGCCTCAAATCCTGAGAGACATTTTCTTCAGTGGTACAGCCACTGGTTAAGTACTCTTGTTGCAGTAAACAACACTAACGGGTCTCACACACACACAAAGAAACAAAGTAGAAGGGGAAAAGAGGAAACGAATTAGTGGAATGGGGATAATAAAGGATAATGGTTCTTACTCAACAGTGCTAATATACATTATTGTGCATATATATGCTTAAAGTCACTGTAATTATAAATCTTTTGATGTACATGCAGTGTTTAAATTATACATACATAAAAATGTCATAATGTAACCCATTATTACCCACAATTAAGGTTAATAAGACATTAAAAAAAAGTTTTATTTAACCAGAAAGATAATTTAAATAAGCAAATACTACTTATCAGTTTTACAGCAGCGATTCTTTTAGATTTTAAGAACTCGTGCGTGCATATGTGTTTGTTTCCTGCAGAGGTGATGTCGATTCTCGTCAGAGCTGCAAATGCTGGGAACTGTGTGTGCTCTTGGACCCCAAGCCATCAGCCCAGCAGTGATTCTCTAAGTGAATCTTGTCAACACACGGTAAGGTCTGTTATCCCATGCTAGTAAAGCTACTAAGAAGCCCTGGTTCCGTCACCTGTTGGCACAGCACACAAGGCGAGAGCACGCTTTTCTTCAGCATTTATTTACTGCGTGTCCCTGTGGCCGCGCACGCGTGCCTGTGGGCACGGGGGGTTTGTTCCCTTGACCGACCACGTGGGTCCCAGGGCTGGAAGTCCGGTCTCCCGCCCGGGGCTGCGGCCCCTCCCCGCCGCGGGACGCACGTGCCAACCGACCTTGAAGTAGATGGAGTCCCCTCCCGCGGTCTGAGGTTTCACGGCGGACACCTGGCCGCTGCTCAGCCTCGGCGGGACGAACAGCGTGAAGGGCTTCTGCTTCTCCATGCTCCTCTAGGCCTGGGGGAGGGGAGTTCACCAAGCACGCCGGTGAGGAAGGCGGGTGTAGAGCCAGCTCCCCACCTCAGTGGGGTCCCGCCCCGGGGCGCCCCAAAGCCGTCGCGCGGCCTCAGGCCTGGCGGGAACCCGGAAGGTCGCCTGACTGGCGGCCCGAGGCTCGCCAGGCCGCCTGAGGTCCGCCAGGCCTCGCTAGGCCGCGAAGCCACGCGCCTGACACGCGCGACGGAGCCGCGGGTGGGGGCCCCCAGCCCGGGCAGCCCTCCACCGCCTCACCATCCGCGGGCTCCCTGCCTCGCTGGCCAGAGCTTCGCTATGAAAACATCGAACAGAACCGCGAGCTCCGGCCTCGGAACCTCCTAGAAGCCAGAGAACGTCAGCACCCTGCGCAGGAGCGCGCAGGACTGAACAGCGGGGCGTCAACGGCGAAATATAACGGTTGGTCAGCTCCGCAGCTGCCCGGGATCTCGCGAAACACATCTCGCGAGACTTTCCTTTTCGTGGGCCCAGGTTCTGATTCTCCACCGAGTCTGTTCTGTGAGCGGCTACTGTTGTCAGAGAACACTGGGGAAGCCCTCGTGGAGTAAGACGAATGAGCTGAGGAACTCACAGCCTAAGTTGCCATACAGTCATCTAAAGGAGTCGTTCCTTCTCTTTAGAGGACTCCCTACTTTCTGGTTTGTGTGTAAGTGTGTTTGGTGTGTGCGGATACATGTATGCACATGCACCACGTGCATGCGGTGCCCTGAGTGGCCATAAGAGGGCAGAGGATCCCTTGGGACTGGAGTTACAGATGGTTGTTGACTGCCGTGTGGGTACTGGGAACCAAACATGGGTCCTCTGCTACAGCAGGAAAGTGCTCTCTAGTCCCATGAAAAGGAGTCATTTCTTAGGAGCCCCAGGACACCACAAGTAGTGCTGAAGATGGTTTGGGGAGTAGGAGTTTGTCACGGCTTCTACTGTGGCTGTGCAATCGATACCCCGACAAACCACAAGTTGGGCAAAGCAGTGAGCTGTCTTCAAGTCTTATGGGTCTGAGAAAGTAGGGTGCAGTTATGTGAGGACTGAGGGGGAAAGGCAACAATGGAGACTGGAGATTAAAAAAAGGTGACTCAAAGCCGGATTAGTGGGTGGGGAGCGGCGGGGAGGAGGGGCCGGATTTAGACTTTACCAAGGAGGCTAGTGAGGAAAGTTTGGGCAGTAAGGCTGGCATGATCAGGTTGGGAAGAAAATTCATGCTATGAAGACTGCTTCAGGTTTATGAAGTGGGACAGTTTTGATAGCCTGGACAAGATATACGGATCCGTATTATCACAGGGTCAGTGGTGATGAGGTATCAGCTGGAAAATACATTTAGTATGTCAAATCAGTGTGTTTTAAGTAAAAGGGAGGGAAATCAAAGGGCAGGCTTGGCTAGCTAGATATATCATTATAACAGTACTAAGACAGACGAAATGACCCAGCTCTCCCGAAGATACAGGTAACCATTTTCCTGGGCTGGCTCTACTTTCATGCCTGCAACTTTCCTCAGCAGATGCCTCACAGTCTTGTCATCTCCAGCATCCTGAGTCTCCGTTCATAACTTGGGCTTCACCTTCATAGCTTCATACAATGGCCTCTGGGCGCCTCCTTGCCAGTAATCAGACCCTACCACACATAGCCTGGCCTCTGTGGTCAGTACAAATTCTCATGACCCCTCACTCTTGCATCTAGCCTGCCTGCAAAATCAAGTTCTTTTGCCATCTGGAGACATAGGCTGGTTCCTTTGGACCACAACGCCAGCAGCCTGTATGTATCTTCAAGACCAAATCTAGGGAAACACTTCTTTAGGAGAATGTTTTCAGGCGGGGACCTCTGCAGAGAATCCCTTTGGATGCATTCTTAGTTCGCTCTCTCCTTTCCAAATGGATTTGGGTTTCTTGCAAGCTAGAGCCTTCAGTGGGTGAGCCATTGTTCCCAAGACACCTTGCCTACTGTCCACATGAAAAGCAGAAGGCTCCTCCTAAGCCGCAGTAATATTTTTTAACAATTATACACTCCTGTCTGCACCTTTATATCAAAATCCTTTCCCAAAAAAAAAAAACCTGCACATTTTTCACATCTTTCTGCTCAATTGCTGCAAACATTGCTAAAAAGCAGTAAGTAGCAATTATGCCACAGCCCAATGCATGCTTGCATGCTATCTTGAAATAATTTCTACCAAATTAGTCCATTTTTTATTTAAACCTCAATTTCTCAGGATATAGGAATGATGGGGCCAGGTTCTTTGCCTGAATGTAACAGAAGTGGTCTCTAATCCAATTCTGATAGTCTTTGTTTCCCTCTGAAACCTGGGGAGCCTGTCCATACTGTGGTCCTTCACACTTAATCTCTCCTTAGAGCAGTAGAGGGTTTCTCTAGCCAACAATCCCATGCTTTTCCTGGTTCCTCGCACAAACTCCTTGCAAAGGCCTACTAACCATGACATCAAATTTGCTGTAGATTTGTTGTTAGTATATCCCACTTCTCAGAACCAATTTTCATCTCTTGTCCTTGTGACCAAATACCAACAGTAGCTTCGGTTCACAGTCCATCACTGTGAGAAGCAGGAGCATGAGGCACTGTTCCTGTGGATCATGGTATCCACAGTCTAAGGTTCCCTGAGATGTCATGATGGCTATTTTTAGTTGCTTCTTTGTTCTATCTCTTTTCTTTTTCTCTTCTTTCCTTCTCCCCTTCTGTTTCCTCAATAGTGATCTTGTAATAGCAGTGCATCCTATAAATAATGTTCACAAGGGTTAAGTGTTTCTTTTTATATCCTACACTACCGTGTGTATGCTATAAATGTAAGCATGCTGTTTAACTCACAGTTTGCATTTAGAAAACAGTTGCAAAGGCTGTCATTGTGCATCCACATAGAGACCATTTAATCTGCATCTGTCTGCTCTAAAGGAAGAGAAGTGGAGCTATTTTAAAACCCTGCTTTCCAGAGCATTTCAGCTTTGCCTCCTCAGCTTTACATTCATTTTGGCAAGTTCACCAAGCCTGACAGTTTCATCAAAGAGCCAGATCTCTCATTAGCATTTTTCAGACCTGCCTTTAAAAATTCAGCTATGAAGTCAAGCTGCATTGAGTATTCTCAGGGTTTTTGTATGTATGACATTGCAGAGTATTAAGATGTTTTCCTTTATCTATAGCTGATTTTTTTTTCAGTGGAATAAGTTTAGCAGTATAAATCAGAGGAAATCTCAAGTGAATGTGAATTATTGACGGGACTACAGCCATGTCAACAACCAGTGCCTCAAATCCATGATAATAGCAAAGCCTTCCTCTGGTCCATGTATGAATATTGACCACGTGTGCAAAAACTATCATCTGCAGTTTCCTCCTCCAGGATGACCACAACTTGAGACTGCCCAGCCACAGAGACCTTCAACCAAGACTAGCTAACCTGACTCCTTATTCGATGCACAATAAATGTGCTAAGTTTCTAGGTTGTTGTGTAGTTGCTGCCCTCCATCAGAGGCCTACTTGTAGGCATTTCGGTTGGATCGAGATGGGTCAGGTATTCTGGCACTCCAGAGTCACAGAATACTGAGTGTTACACAGCTCAGGTGGAAAGGTATCCTGGAGCTCGGGAGTGTTACACAGCTCAGGTGGAAAGGTATCCTGGAGCTCGGGAGTGTTACACAGCTCAGGTGGAAAGGTATCCTGGAGCTCGGGAGCCAAGGACTACCACAGGTTTTAGTAAGCTTAGCAGCTTACAGCCCTGCCTCAGGGAAAGGCTTCCCGGTGTATCAGCAATGTTCCTGCAGGACAGGGTCTTCCAGCTGGGGATGTTTGCACAGTGTAGCAGTTTTGCTCTGCAGGAGGTTTCTCCGCGAAGTTGCTACATTTCAGCTCTGCTCCTGGAAAGAGGAGAGCTGAGAGCAGAGTGTAACAACTCCACTCTGCCAAGGGAAGATTTCCCTGGCAAAAGTGTTACAGCCCTGCTCGCTCTGCTCTGCCCAGGGGTGGCCTCTGCTCCATCGCCACAGCCACAAAAGAAGATATTCACCCAAAGCTCATCAAAGGGGTTTATTGGAAGGAAGAATCCAGGAGAGTGACTGCCCTCTGCCAGAGTGGCAGAGGACAACCTGGTAGTGCAAACAGATACAAGCTGAACAGACACAGGGTTTATATAGGGCTTCCAGGGTGCAGATTGGTCAGATTTTAGTGCTGAGCTCAGACTGACTAGAGCTCTGCTCCAGGATTGGTTAGCTTTCTGCACAGCATTAGGGTCAGATTTGGCTCTGGTTTCAGGGCCAATGTGTATTTCTTTCTCTGGTCCTTTTTAGCCTTTTGGCTCCAATTTTAGGGCCAGGGTGCATTTCTTTCACTGACTCTGATTCCAGGAACAAAGTGTGTTCTTTTGGCACTAGTTTCAGGGTCAGGGTACATTTCTTTGGTTCTGGTTGCAGGGCCAAAGTTTGTTTCTTTGGCTCTGGTCAGGGTGTGTTTCTTTGGCTGGTCCCTTTTCCCTACATTACTTGTGATGATTTGAATGAACATGGCCCCAACTCTCTCCTATATTTGACTGTTTGATCTCTTTTGGGTGGACCATTTGAGGACTAGGTGTGGCCTTGTTGGAAAGAATGTGTCACTGAGGATGGGCTTTGAGATTTCCAAAGCCTATGCCAGGCCCAGTCAGCCTCCCTCTTATCTCCCCTACCTTCAACTTACAGATCAGAACATAAGCTCTCAGCTACTGCTCCAGTGCCATGCCTACCTGCCTGGTGTCATGCTCCCTGCCATGATCATCATGGACTCATTCTTTGAAATTATAAGCAAGACCCCAATTAAAGGCTTTCATGAGTTGCCTTAGTTCTGGTGTCTCTTCACAGCAACAGAAAAGTCACTAAGACAACAACCAATCCCAGCTTTCCTGAACTGTGTCTTTGTGTCTGTTATTTCTTCATTCACTCATCACCCCAGTCAGGCTTCCAGAACCAAGCCATGCAGGATATGAAAAGATAGGGGTGGGGTGAGATGGTTCTGAAGATAAAGGCTCTTGTGTCTAGCCCGGACAATCCACGGAGCACACTTGAAGGTGGAAGGAGAGAACACACTCCACAGAGCCGCCCTCTGATGTTCACAAATACACTTTGGTATGTACACACACACACACACACACACACACACACACACACACACAAAGCAACAACAACAACAAATGTTGGCAAGAGTTGTAAAGGGAAAAGAATCTTTATACACTGTTGAGAAGTAGTCGCTGTGTCACTATATAGTTTTCTTCAAATCTAAAAATAGACCTACATATAATCCATACCACTTCTGGGAATACACCTGAATCAAGAGCCACATAAAGTCACAACACCTACATAGTCATGTTTATGACAGCACTATTTATAGGACCAAAACACAGAATCAAACTAAGTGTCATCAACAGATGGATGAATAAATAAAATGTGATATATACAGAAATACACATACAATTCAGTCCTTAAGAGGAATGAAACTGTCACTTGCAGAAAAATAGATGAACGTCTTCATGTTAAAGGAGATAAACTAGACTCAGAATAGAATCAGATGTTTGCTTGCAAGTGTGAATCTATTGTTTCAAGATCCGGAAGTAATAGGGGACTATCAGGGAGACAAGGAAGGCATCAGCAGTATGTGGGAATTACAGAGTGTGCGGTAAATACAACTAAAATATATACTTGTATGAAATTTCCTTAATGAAACTTGCTATTTTGTGTAATTAGCATATACTTATTAAAAATACAAAGCAGATACAATTTGAAAAGGTGTTGTTTCTCTTTAATCATTCATGAAATTCTGTGACAAGCTTTAAGCATCAGCTTCTTATTCCATCAGTCATATGCACTGCCTTATCCTAATACAACTAACCTTTGTTCATGTTTATACATTATATCGTCAGTTAAATGAAAAAAATTAGTTTCGTTAGGTGAGGACTCATGAAAAAACAATGGCCATTAGTTCTTCTCTTTCTTCTTCTGAGATGAGGTCTTACTATATAGCCCAGGATGGCCTTAAACTCGGGATCATCCTGCCTGCATCTCCCAAGCACAGGACTGTGCCACCACACAGCTCCATTGGGAAGAATCCTAGGGTGTTCCTCTGCTGAGAGTCTAAAATTCCACAAAATCTGATGAGCCTTAGGATCTCCATTTTATGGAGATGTGTGATAACACAATGATTTTCTTTACAGTTTTCAAATCAGTCATTCAACATTCTAAATTTTCAGTTAAATGGGTGCAAATTCCATTTCTCAGAGAGTATCGTCACCAGTCTGGGGTCCTTTGTTTTCCAGGTGCTGAGGATTTCCGAGTGCATGTGACTCAGGGTTCTCAGTTCAGTAAGCCTCCCTATGAGGCGAGCAAAATGCTGTGGCTCTTCTGCATGGTACAGTTTTGAATACTTGAACAAAAGTTGCAGAACTGGTTCTTGTAGGTTTTCTACATGTTGCTTATTTTTAAGGCACAGACGATCTGAAAAAGATACTTATGTTGATTTAAAATGGCGAAATAATGAATTAATTTAAAACAATGCAGTTGTTAAATTATATAAATCACAAGTACCTACAGAACCCTAATACACATTAGATTTGCTAACTGAATTGTCTTTGTTAATCATTTTATTTAATCTTCATGGTATTCTATTGTGCTGCATTCTGCTTTTATCACATTTTTCAAATTAGCTCTCTGAAATGTAGGGAGTTAAGTAATTTCCATAAAGTCACATGAGAAGGAAAGGATCTGTGAGTAATGTTGGGAATATAACAGCCATGAAGGGCTTTCCTGAAACTTTAAAATAGCAAGCAATGTCTCTACAGTCAACAGGAAGTAAAGGGCAAGGCGTTTTGAGTTGTTTCCATAAGATATAAGCCAACCGGGAAGTTCTGAAAGCTTCAACAGCCTTCACTCATCCAGTCACTTTGCTAACTATGCAGCAATGAACCTAACAGGCAAAATTGTCTCCCTTTATTTTATTTATATTCTTAATATATAATGGATGGAGAAGGGGAGAGACAAACATCTTAAAAAGCAAAGATTGAAGGCTGGAAAGACCACTCAGCAGTTAAGAGCTCTGACACTCTTCCTGAATACTGGGATTCAATTCCCACACCCACATGGTGACTCACAACCATCTGTAACGCCAATTCTAAGAGATCTGACACCTTCTGGACTCACAAACACTGCACACATGAAGTACATATGCAGACAAGGGAGACACACACATCAATGAAACTAAATGAATAAAAAATATTTTTTAAAAAGCAAAAATAACAGTGATGTGCTATAGATAAAAGGAAACAGGACTCTGGGGTAGAGGGCTAGTGACTATTTTGCAAAGACTGATTAGGAATATAGTTAACAGAAACCCAAAATGGTGAAGGAGAAAAAAAACTAAATAAATAAAATAAAATAATAAAAAGGTGAAAGTGTCATGTGGGGCTCTAAGCAAAAAGAGGAAAAATTGCATCAACGATAGATCCTGTAGCACAAACTTGCAGTGCTCAATGGATTTCTATGTCAAAAGCAATGTGGCCAGGTAGAGGCTGAAAAGGAGCAATAGAGAATAATAGAACTTGGGCTTTAATTTATACAAAATAGGAAGCCACCAATGAGTACAAGCAGAGGAATGGCATGATCTGACTTATATTTTCAGAGAATCCCCCTTGGTGCTAATAGAGAGAAAGTCTATAGAGCACAGAATCAGAAAATCTCGTTGGGTAAGTGGATTCAAGTACACTGCTCAGGCTACAAACAGTAGGAAGCAAGCCAGGCAGTGGTGGCACACACCTTTAATCCTAGCATTTAGGATGCAGAGGCAGGAGGATCTCTGAGTTCAAGGTCATCCTGGTCTACAAAAGAATTTCCAGGACGGTCACAGCTACACAGAGAAACCCTGTCTCAAAAAAAGAAAGAAGGAAGCAAGGAAGGAAGGAAGGAAGGAAGGAAGGAAGGAAGGAAGGGAAGAAAGAAAGAAAGAAAGAAACAATAAATGGTTAAGTGCTAGATATATTTTAGGGTTGAGCCAACAGATGGTGCATATTTGATATTAGTATAGGAGAAAGAAGAGTTAAGGATTTTTTTTAATTTGCTCATGCAATTTGGAAGATGAAGATATAGTTTAGTACAGGTGGAAGAGAAATAGGTAGCAAAATCTCAGGAGTTTGGCTTTGGGCATTTTAAACTTGATATACCTGCTTAGTCACATAGAAATCTGGAAGAGGCTATTTAATAAACTCTGGGGGAGCACACCAAGTTGGTATCAGATACACACAGGCTTTTAATGTCAAGAGATGGGATGAAGTCATGAAGGAAGTGAGTACAGAAGAAAACTGACCCTGTCACAACCATGTGTAACCCCAGTCCCAAAGGATCTGACATCTTCTGACCTCAGCAGCCAAAGCACACCTGTGGTGCACCGGATGCAGACAACACACACACATAAAATAATGAGTTAATTTAAAAGTAGACTGAGTCCTCTCTCAGAACCCCCGGCTCAGGGTCTGCAGCCAGGTCAACTCCCTCCCACCCCCCTCCCGATGGACGACCAAGTGACCAGGAGCCTGAGAGAGCTGGTCCACTTCTGCCCACACTCAGGGCAGAGGACAGAGAGCAGAGGCCAAAGGGTATTGGATTTGCTTGCACCCACTGAAAGGGAACCCTGGTTGCCTACCCACCAGGAGAGGAAGAGACTCTTTCTACACCCACTGGAAGAAGTGATGGGGAAAAGGCAATATAAGAACACACTCAGCAACAGAAAAACAAATATGACACCACCAGAGTCTAGAGATTCTACACCAGTAAGACCTGAACACCCCAATGCAGAGGAAGCAGAAGGGAATGACCTTAAAAACACCTTCATGAAAATGATAGTGGCCCTCAAAGAGGATGTGAGAAAATCCCTTAAATAAATGGAACAAAAAACAAACCAAAAAATGCAAGAAATAGAAGAAAATACAAACCAAAAATTCCAACAAATAGAAGAAAGGGAGGAAAACACGAAGCAAAAATTACGAGAAACAATTCAAACAATGCAAGGATTGAAAACTGACATGGACTCCATGAATGTAGTGTCAGTAAGGAGGCCTCAGAAATCTCTGGGGCCTTGGGTAGTAGACTAGTGTCCACCATGGCATACAAATGAACTTTGGGAGCCCGTTCCATATGGAGGGATGCTCTCTCAGCCTGGACACATGGGGAAGGGCCTAGGTCCTGCCCTGGATGAAATGACAGACTCTGGAGATCCCCAAATGACAGACTCTGGAGATCCCCCCAAGGAAGGCCTCACCCTCCCTAGGGAATGATGTGGGGATTAGTCTGGGGATGGAAGGGGGGTCTGGTGAAGGGAGAAGGGGGGAGCTGGGATTGACATTTGAAGCATGCATGTTTCTAATTTAAATTTAAAAAACTACCAGCACTCAGGAGGCAGAGGCAGGTGGATCTCTCTGAGTTCAAGGCCAAGCTGGACCGACAGCCTCCAAAACAATACAGAGAAACCCTGTCTCGTAAAACCAAAAATAAATAAATAAATAAAATAAAAGTAGACTGAGTCTTAGAACAACTTAAATGTTTCTCATTGTAAGAGATGAAGACGACTGAATAAAGGAGGCACAGGAAGAATTGCCAATGAACAGGAAAAGATCAAGAGAGAATGGTGTTCCCAGGGACTGGAGAGATGGCTCAGAGGTTAAGAGCACTGCCTGCTCTTCCAGAGGTCCTGAGTTCAATTCCCAGCAACCACATGGTGACTCACAGCCATCTATAATGAGATCTAATGCCCTCTTCTGGCATACACAGGCATACGGGCAGGCATAATAAATAAATTTAAAAAAAAAAAGATGGCATACATGAGAATGATGTTCCTGAGAGTCAGTGATACACACACACACACACACACAAAATCTCTCAAGGCTGGTGGGATGGTTCACCAGGCCTGACTATCTGAGAGAGAACCAACTTCCATAGACTGTTCTCCATGTATACACACACGCACACACACGCACACTAAATAAATAAATATTTTTAAATGTCTAACAAAAGAAAAAAGAAAAACATCTATATGAGTTAGTGGTCAGGTTGTTTGGTTTGGAGTGGAAACTTCTGAAAGTGTCTTGCTTTTGCAGTTTTTTGCACAATTTTAGTTCTATTCGTAGTGCTTGAATATTCACAAAGTTGGAGGCAAGTTGTTAGTTGGACTACAGTCTACAAGGAGAATCTAATATTTTTCATGTAACAGTGAGTAGGAATGCCAAGATTATGACAGGGTAAATTGTTGGGAATAAAAATATCAGAACTGATGAGCAAAGGGGTCAAGACTGGGCTGGTTTGACACACAGAAAGAGTTGACCTGAACAACCAGGAGCTCTTGGACCTCAGACTGATGGCTGGGTGGACAGCATGGGACTGATCCAGAACCCCTGAATGTGGGTGTCAGTGAGGAGGCCTAGGCAATCTATGGGTAGTATTTATCCCTGGCATACAAATGGATTTTGGGTCCCCATCCCACAATGAGGGAGGCTCTCTCAGCCTGGACTCTTGTGGGAGGTTCTAGGCGCTGCCCTGGATGAAATGACAGACTCCAGGGATCCACCATGGAGGGCTTCATGCTACCTGGGGATGGAGTGGAGACTGAGTCAGGGACTGGAGGGCCTGCTGGGGGGGTAGGAGAGGAGGGGAGGGAGAAGGAGCTGGGATTGACATGTGAAGCAAGCTTGTTTATAACTTAAATTTTAAAAAAGGAAGAAAAATATCAGTCCTGGAAAAGGATATTAAACAAAGATCAGCTGAAGGGAAGTGATTAAAAGTGATGAAGTTTTCATCAGAAAACTTCAATTAAAAGTATTGGCCGAGCGTTGGTGCTGCATGCCTTTAATCCCAGCACTCAGGAGGCAGAGGCAGGCAGATCTCTATGAGTTCTAGACCTACCAGGTTCTACAGAACAAGTTCCAGGACAGGCTTCAAAATAATACAGAGAAACCCTGTCTCAAAAAAAAAAGTATCTTAATGATAAATTTATAATCTAGGGGAGCCCTTTGCCCCACAGAAAACATTCTTAAATGTAGAGAACATGGCATGTTCCTTGTTTTAAAAGAGCCCACCGAAAAGGTGTAAAGGATGTTGGTCATGGACTTTTTTAGTTCCACTCCTAGGAGGCAGTGAAACCCTCACACAGCCAGAATGCCAGAGCTCTGAAGTTGCTGCACCATCTAGAATTTGTTGCTTACTTGCTAGACTGAACTGAAAGAAAAAAAGACGTTTAAGGTCCAACTAGGGTGAACTTTTCCTAGTAACACTCTTAGCTGTTTTTCCAAACATTCAAGTCCAGATGACCACAAGCACTGCTATCCCTCCAGTTCTCTAAATCCAGGCTTATCTCCTCTACCCTTTTCACTGCGCAGTAGCTTACAAAGCTTCTCAGAATGACGCATAATACTAGAAAGTGGAAATGTAATGTAGCCACACTGGAGCCTATGGGATTGACCTTTCAATGAGCATGTCTAGTGAGCATTCATGATGCCATTGAAAGTTAAAATGAAAAATAACACAAATAGGTCCTGATCAATTAAGACTGGATAGTGGTATCCTAGGATGATTTCATTGGCTTGAAGCAGTGAGTTACCCATACTAATCAACTGCCTTACTTTAGCTTGGAGCCAGGATATAATGCACGCTACAGACATGTCAAGAAGATGTGTTGACACAAAAAGCATGAAGATTCCTCCCAACACACTAGAGATCTTCACCATGGCTACAAAACTCTACCCAAAGACTCACAGGAAACAGGATGTCCTCTTGTTTTCTTTTAAGTGCTTATGAGCTTCTCTACCAAATATAGCTGATGGGTCAAGTAAGATAAGGACTGAGAATTTGCCAGTGGGGTCAGCAATGCCAAGATCCTGAAGCTATTGACAGGTTGTGGTGGACTGGAGAAGTTGGAGTGAAATTGAACTGTAGAAGATTCAAGTGTAAGAGAAGTAAAATGGAGATTAGCATATAGCTAACTCCCTAAGAAACTTTCTCTATCAAGGACTTGGAAGAGTATATCCAAGGGCAAGAAAGCATTTTAAACATGTAAGAAACTACAACATAATGGTGTGATTAAAGGAGTACTCATACAGCAAACTGTGATGGATGAAATTGGTACTTTCAACCTCAGTCAAGTTTAATAACCAAGAACTTCATGATTTCCTATGCAGATGTCACCTTACTCATTATTTCCCGTGCAGATGTCACCTCCCTGCTGACAGTGTTTACCTGAGAAAAGCACTGTTGTTGCTGTAAGCAGAGCATATTCTGTATCCGTTATATTGAGTTCACTCATTCTTCTGTAGAAGTAAGACAGTGAGGCAACAAATTCTTCAGTAATACCTAAAAAGATTAGTACAAGTATATTTTCATCAGAATGTAGCACAGAAGTAAATACATCATGACTATCTTTTTTCTCTCTCTCAAACTAGCACAAGAAAAATGAAATGAGGGTGGGACTCAAGTTAGCTGCCTGTGTGATAGCCAGCAAGGACAATTCCCTTTGCTGTGCCTGGAAGGCCATGCCTGAATCTCAGTAGTGGGCTCATTAGGTGTGCTACTGAGAAAGAACAGAACAATAGCAGGGTGTCAGTCACCGTGTGGACCAAACAGGAGACTGTGGGACCGAGAGCCTTTAGCATGCAGAAGCCCCTCTCTGGGTGTTCTTGTATAATTCATGGAAGGCTCACCTTCTACCTATAAAAGTGGTTGATACTATGATGTTGGCTGTATATGACAACATCAGCATCCTGGGAAACTTTGGAAAGCACCCCAAAGAATGATTCAGAGGCCCCAAATAGCTTCCCACCTAAATAGGGAAACAATTGCAGTGATGTAGCCAAAAGAAAATGGTGACAAATAGGTTGCTCACAGGTTAACATTAACAAGTGTATTGACTGTGTCTACAAATGCTTTCGCCACCACTGAAGCACTCTTAGCAGAAAACCTATGAACTGTGAAAAAAAGCCCAGGGCATTCTCCTTGTAGTAAAATGAAAAGAAGGGGAGAAAAGGAAGCATGGCCACCCAGCATGACACTTTGTATTGCACAATGATACCAGTTAGAGTAGCAGAAGGACAGCCTTGCTTGAAAAAGTTTTCCAAAGAATAAACATTTTCTTCATTGCTCTGATTATGCACTTCCAGTGTCCGAGCTAAGGGCTTTGATGGTCTTATAATACCTAGCAAAAGAAAAAACAATACAAACTCTGAATTTTTTACTCTAATCATTATATAGATAGTAATGCATTATCTTTTCAGAATTAAACATAACTATTATGTGGAAAACATTTCCCTAAAATAATATCATTATCATTTTTGGTACTAGAACATGAAACCAGATTAATAGCTCATATTTTATAGAAAGACGCTCCAAGATGAGCTTTCCATGATGCTATAAAGAATGACTTTCTTACACACACCCACCGTGCATCACTCTAGTGCACTAGAGGCTGTGGAGACTCTTAAGCAAACACTGTTCAAGCAATCATGGACTAGGTTACCAAGGGCCTCCCTTTAGCAACATTATGCTCTGGTGTATGCTGGGGAAAACAACCAATAAATAAGTTTAAAAAGAGCCAGGCGTTGGTGGTGCACGCCTTTAATCCCAGCACTCGGGAGGCAGAGGCAGGCGGATCTCTGTGAGTTCGAGGCCAGCCTGGTCTACAGAGCGAGTTCCAGGACAGCCTCTAAAACAATACAGAGAAACCCTGTCTCGAAAAAAATGAAAGCAAACAAACAAAAACGTTTAAAAAGGTTAGCACTGTAGCAAGTGCAGTTAGTGAAGGCAGCTGGTATTGCTGGCAAAATGTTTTGTTGTTTTTGTTTGTCATTTTGCTTCTTCCTACATCCTCAACCAACACAGAACTTGATGAATTGAATTATCACATGCACATACTAGAACGATGGATTTCCTGGTCTATTCAAAGGGTTGATTGATTTTTTAAAAAACATGTTTCTTTTTTTATGGAAGTGTGGTGATTGGATACGAGGCTCAACACTAGCCTAACTAGCACTTTACCCCACCACAGAGGTGGTCCACAAATAAGTAGCCCGTGGTTGTGAGTTCAAAGCAAGCACCCAGCCTTCACCCAGAGCCCCACTGTGTCTTAAAATCACCATCCCCTTCGTGTTTAAACGCCTGTAAAAGTCTTCCTCATTAGAAGAGCCTGGCTGAGGGGCACAGAAGCCCCTGCCCAAGCTAAGGAGCTCTTGGCAATTGACAGCTGCTAGGGGAGAGAGAGTCCAGTTTCTTTCTTTAGGGGCTGAAGTTGACAAGCTTCAGGGGACGAGCCCACACCCATGTGCATGTGAGTAGAACTAAGTAGAGTCACTGGGTTGTTTTTAAGAAGGATGGGGGAGGATGTGAAATGAGGAGAAAGATGTGGGGGGGCATTCTGGCATAGTTGGTGGGGGAAGAAGTGAGTATGATCAAAATACCTTGAATACATGTATGAAATTCTCACAAGAATAAAAAAGTACAATTTTAAAAAGAATAACTAAGCCAGGCTTTGGTAGTGCACACCTTTAATCCCAGCACTCAGGAGGCAGAGGCAGGCAGATCTCTGTGAGTTCAAGGTCAGCCTGGTGTACAGAGTGAGTTCCAGGACAGGCTCCAAAATAATACAGAGAAACCCTGTCTCAAAAAACCAAAAAAAAAAAAAAAAAGAGTAACTTTGATGAGAGAAAATGCTGGATAGATATTTTAGAAGACTATAAACAGCTATCATGAGATATTTGTTCCTACACTAACTGGTAAAATAAAATGAAAAATTAAAGAGACTGGTGATGCCACTCAGTTAGTAGAGTTCTTGCTTAACATGCACAAGGTACCAGGCATTGGTGGTGCATTCCTTTAATCCCAGCACTCGGGAGGCAGAGGCAGGCAGATCTCTGTGAGTTCGAGGCCAACCTGGTCTACAGAGCAAGTTCCAGGACAGCCTCCAAAACAATACAGAGAAACCCTTTCTTGAAAAACAAACAAACAAACAAACAAAACATGCCCAAGGCCCTGGGTCCCATCCCCAGCACCACATAAAGCAGGTGTAGAGGAATACATCTGTAGTCTCATTGATTGGCAGGAGCATCAGGGGTTCAAGATGTTCCTTAGCTACACAATGAGTTCTAGGAGGCCTAGGCTACCTGTGTGTGTGTGTGTGTGTGTGTGTGTGTGTGTGTGTGTGTGTGTGTGTGTAATATATAATTTGTTGCTAATTTTACATGACTATGTTAAAGTTAAATAGCATCTTTTTTTTTCTTTTTACTTCCAGAGGTTGATTCTTTCCCACAGTAAAGCTGGGCTACATGAAGGAACATCACTTCAGTTTTTGACTCCTTTTGTAATGCAGTCTGATCCTCACTGGTTAAATTTTCAAATCCTTAAAAAAATAAAGCATAAAGAAACAAGATAATCAAAAGATAATGTTCATAAACTAAATGTTTAAAAATATTTCTTTACTCATCATCCCTACATACTTCTTGGGAATAACTATAACATATAAATGCAAATCTGAATAAATTATTGATTCTACATGGTAATATTTTAGAGCACTTTTATCAGAACCAGGTGACACTTTTCTTACAGCAAGAACAACTCAAGCATAGTTGCTTTAGCCTTGAAGAACATAATTTTACAATGAGATACTATACCTGCAAATACATAATGAAACTGAGTTATATATAACTAAGTTTTAGTCCACTGTGGTTTGTTCTAGTATTATATAGGGAAATTCCTTTGTTTTCTATTTCATCTTAAAAAAACTACATTATTGTAATAATTTTGTAAATATTTAGTTTGTCACCCACATGATTAATTCAAGTAGATAAGTTAGAAGAAGCATTACTGGAAAAATAAAGGTTTTCTATTGAACCCAGAGCCTCACACTTGAGACAAGTACTCTGCCACTGAGCTGTATATCCAACCCACATTAGAGGTTTTTGTTTTGCTGTACTACCCCTTTATCCTAAAAACAGAATTGGGGGCTGGAGAGATGACTCAGCAGTTAAGAGCATCTTACAGAGGACCTGGATTTGTTTCCCAGGACCCACATGGTAACTCATAACCATCAGTAACTCCAGGTCCAGGAAATGCCACACTCTCTTTTATCTTTCATGATATTGTGTGTACATGGAATGAATATATACTTGCAGGCAAAACATGCATAGCACAAAAAAAATAAAAACGAAGAAATCTTTAAAAAATAATGAAACATAATTTTACCTGGCAGTCCCTTGGTAAAATTCATCAGCCTGTGTATGTTTAGAACTGCTGCCTCTGAGAGTCTCAGAAAACTTAGCTCAGGGTTGGAATGCTCCTGCAGCTAATCCATAAAAAGAAATAAAAACAATAAGTTGTGTTTTCTTTCATATAATTACTAAAGTTTTTAGCCATTTCTGCTATCATTTTCTAATAACATTCATTACAAGTTCTTTCTTGCCATTAATGGATACATACAAGCAGACTTGCTTCCCCCAAAGGAATCATGAATTTTTGATGAGCAGTCACTATGGTATTCATAAGACGATGTTCCTCTTGAGTTAGTGCCACGCTTTCCTGACCCTGTAAGGAAACAGAGGGGCACCTGTAGTGTGTGCCGATTGCCCATGTTGTCACTAAAGAAACTGGAGGCGTGTAGAAGAAAGGTCTTGCCCCTTTTCCATATCTGGTAGTGGATGATACAAGCTTGCTGTCTGGGCTTCCATCTCCCACTCGGAAGTCAGAGCAAAGGGCAGTCTTCTGCTTGAAGTTCTTACCAAGTCTCTTCGACTTACACTGGATCTCCGTGAGCAAACCTGTGATGTTACAAAATTCACACAAAGCATTTTTGTCTCAGAAAATAACATTGTGGGATTTGATAAAAATGCTGTTAAACGAGTGCATCAACTAACTCTCCTATATTCCTCCCCCTTCATAGACATCTTCTCTATTTGAAATACAGTTCCACTAGACAAAAACTAAGAGCTAATTTTTCATTTCCAAATTATGTTTATATTTTTACATAAGAAATTTACACATTAATTGCATCTTGGAAGTGAGATAGATTGTCGTTTTATAAAGTAGTACCTTATTTATAACTTTTATCAATGGTTTGAAGTAAGGAAGACTACCTTAGGATTTTCAAAATAAGCTGTCAATTTTTCCTATAAGCCAGATAAAACATTTAGTTATTTTTCAAATGTGGATAATATTTATTTGAGGATTGTTCTGTTTGTTTGCTTTTAAAGATTTAGTTTTAATTATTTATATGAGTATGTGGGATGCACACATGAGCGCAGGTGCCCACAGATGCCAGAAGTGTCACATCGCCTCAAGCTGGAATTACAGTTGATTGTGAGTCACACAATATGGGTGCTGGGACCTGAACTCAGGTCCTCTCAAGAACAGTACACACTCTTAACTGCTGAGCTGTTTCTCCAGCCTGGGAATTATTGTTTTTATAGAATGTTTAATCTTCCATTAGTGCCTTTACCAGACCAGCAGAAGCTACCATAAATCACTACTAAAATTTTATGCAAGTAGTAATTAATATACCTGTCATTTTCATAATTGGACATGGTAGTACAAACCTAAAACCCAACTACTCAAGAGACTACAAGATGAGGATCATATGTCGAATGCCAACCTTGGAAACTCCAACAGACCCTGTCTTCAATTTTTTTTAATTTTTTTTTAAAAAAGTAGAAAAAGAGTCTATGGGTGTAGCTTAGTGGTAAATTATCCGGCATGTGGGAACCCTGAGCTCAACCCTCAATGCCACAAGAAGGAAAAAATAAGAAGAAGGAAAATTAGTCAAAAGAGAAGGGGAGAGGAGGAGAAGGAGGGAGAAAGAGGAGAAGAGGAGAAAGAAGAGGAAGAAGAGAATGGGAAGAGAAGAGGAAAATGGATTCTCAAACACTAAACACATGGCAGCATTAGGACAATTGGGTAAATGTAGTATGAAGAGCTACGGCAATTGTGGCAGGATGTGGATGAATGGGAATAACATGTGAATAAGGCTTATGTTCACCAATCACGATAATTATACTCATCAATTCTCTTGCTTCATCTTGTCGTAATTCCTTTAAGTTAAAGTGAAGGATGATTCATTTTATTTAGAGAGTCCCTCAGAAGACTCTGAGTTTCCTTCCACACACATTTTCTGACACAGGTTAAAAGGCAACTATTGGGCCAGGTGCGGTGGCACACATTTTTAATTCCAGAACTTGGAGGGCAGAGGCAGGGGAATCTTGTGAGTTTGAAGCCAGCCTGGCATACTTAGCAAGTCCCAGACCAGCTACATAATGAGATCCTATCTATAAACTAAATTAATAAATAAAAGACAACATTTTCAAGGGTTTCTTTGGCCTGAAGTGTACCTCCCAAACCTCATGTGTTAAAGCACTAACCTCTAATGTGATGGTATTTGGAGACAGATCCTGGTACCCATGTGTTAACTGTTAGTGGGTTGTACATACCTGGATATCAGGTAGGCTTTTGACAACTACTAACTTTAAATTTTGCACTTTTTCCATTCAGTATGTAATTAAAGGTTAAGTAACATAAAAATACAAGATCATTTAAAATTATTATTTAGATTTATTTTGCTTTATGCGTGTGTCTTGCTTGCATGTATGTGTGCACACTGCACGCATGCCTGGTGCCTGCAGAGGTCAGAAGAGGGCCTTGGACCCTCTGTAACGGGAGCTCTGGATGATTGTGAACTGCAGAAACTAGGAACTGAGCCCTCTGCAGGAGCAACAAGTGCTTTTAACTGCTGAGCTAACTCTCCAGTGTCAAAAGAGCTGATTCCAAGATTAGAGCAACACAGTACACAGCAACATTTATGGAAATCACCACTTAAATTTATAATGCCATCTATATTGATCAATTGAGGTACATATATGTGTGGTGTGCATGTGCCCATATATAAACAAATATGACAATGTTCAAAATAACTATTGAAGAAGACTTTACATTATCAGTAAGGTTGGAAATTTTTATTTTATTATTTTCAAATTCAATGTTATTGTACAGAGGAGAGTGCGAACACAGTTCCCCCACCCCCACTAATACAAATCATTCAGCCAAGTTTCCCACATTTGTGGAAATCATAGGGGTCAGCACATCCCAGTGCAATGGGTGAGCCTTGCTGTGGGAAAACCACCACCATTATCATGAAGTCTCCCTTACCAGGTTAAGGAAAGTTAGAAAAAAGTTAGCTCCCCCTCAGAAAAACAAAACCAAGCCACAAATACAATGGCACTTACATTCTGCCAACATCCCTGCTGCCTTACATTTTTTCAGTCTGCACTCTTGGCATTTTCTACGCATATACATATCCATTTCACAATGGCCACCATTCTTGCAACTGTAAACTGCATTTTTGGTGATGCTGCGTCGGAAAAAACCTAACAACAAAAGTTGTCAAAGTTTAATATTGATATTTTTAGTTACTTCTCATTCTATTAGCATTTTACATGTATAGTAATCCAGTTAACTAGATTATTTCAATCAAATGAGGGATTTTTTTTCTCCCAATAATTTTTTAAATATAAATTAAGCTGGAAAAATCATCAAATTCCTTCCAATTGGTATACTCAATCCATCCTGAGGAAGTTCCTAACATCTGGAGATTAAACTAAATACTCTTACCACATTAAGGCAACTCTCTATCCTACTACAAGTAAATAACCTAAAAGAATTTTTAAAATTACATTCTACAGAATATCAAGATCCCACAAAGTGTCGCCCAAGGCTCCTTTTAGAGAATACGTGGTCACCTAAACAAAAATGTCAGAAAAGCCTCTCTTTACTAAAACCCCCACAGCCGGGCGTTGGTGGCGCACGCCTTTAATCCCAACACTTGGGAGGCAGAGGCAGGCGGATCACTGTGAGTTCGAGGCCAGCCTGGTCTACCAAGTGAGTTCCAGGACAGCCTCCAAAGCCACAGGGAAACCCTGTCTCGAAAAACCAAAAAAAAAAAAAAGACCCCCACAATTTGATTTCGGCCACAAAGGCAGGTGTGCCCCTCCAAACTGCCCCTCCCCCTTCTGCAGCACTACCCCACGAGAAAGCACTTCTCCCTTTCCTCCTCCACTCCTTAATGTAAACGGTAATCCTTGCCATTTCCTGCTGCTCCAGTGAGGTAGGTGGCCAAGCTTAGTCAATGCCCCTTTTAAAGAGGGATGGAGTTTCAGGATTTCAATTCAACAAAGGAAGTGAAAGCTCAACTTGCGTTTTTTTTGAAACTGTGCCTCAGGTCAATTTCAACAGTGAGGTGCTGATTTTGGAAGCAGGCCATCTCTTGCCCATACCCCTACTCAGGATGCTGTAACCTCATTTCCTATAGTCTCCATTTGGCTTATTCTTTGCAAGATTTAGAGGTAAAATTTAACCCTGAACAAACACGTTTGTTTCTGCTATATTGGCCTAACTGTTTTCTGTTGTTTGGGTTGTTTTTGTTTCTGAGAGTGCTAGGATCAAATCCAAAACTAGGTGATAAGTTCTCTATGGCCTGCCTGCATTCCCATCCCTACATTTACTGGTTAATGAAGTGCGAGAGTGCCTCACAACTGTTAGAATAGAAAACTCCTTCACTCTTTGCTTCCAGACTTTACATTTTTAAAGATTTGTTTATTATGTATACAGTGTTCTGCCTGCATGTATCCCTGAAAGCCAGAAGAGGGCACCAGATCTCATTACAGATGGTCGTGAGCCACAATTTGGTTGGTGGGAATTGAACTCAGGACCTCTGGAAGAACAGCCAGTGCTCTTAGCCTCCGAGCCATCTCTCCAGCCCTTGTTCTCTTTCTTTACAAAGCATTAAAAAAAATCTTTTGACTTAGAATCAGTGAAGTCATTTATTTTAGATTTTCTCCAAGTGTGTAAATTATTTCAACCACATTAAAAAGATGTCATGGTTAACATTTTGATCTTAATGAAAAGTCATGTTTTGTTCCAGTATCGAATTCTTCTTGGAATTGGGAAAACTTTTCCTTGTACATATTGAGTTTTATACTGACATGTGACAGTCATCTTCAGAAATGAAGAGACAGACCTGGTAGTGAATGCCCTTAAAATCAACACTCAGAAGACAGGAAGATGCATGTCTGAGAGTTCAAGGACAGTCTGGTCTTTAGAGTGAATTCCAGGACAGTCAGGGCTGCACAGAGAGACTTTGTCTCAAAAACAAAAACCAAAAATGAAGAGAAGAAGAAAAGGAACAGTGGAAGGGGAAGAGAAAAGAAACTAACCCTAGGACTTGGCATAGTGCTGCACGCCTTTAATTCCAGCACTAAGAAGGCAGAAGCAAGCAGAACTCTGTGGGTTCAAGGCCAAACTGGTCTACATAGTGACTTCTAGGCCAGTCAGAGTTATACACTGAGACCCTGTTTAAAAAAAGGAAAGAAGAAAAAAAAAAAGGAAAAAAAGGAAAGAAAAAGAAAAACAGGAAGGGAGGGAGGGAGGGAAGGAGGGAGGGAGGGAGGGAGGGAGGGAGGGAGGGAGGGAGGGAGGGAGGGAGGGAGGGAGGGAGGGAGGGAGGAAAGAATGGAAGAAGGGAGGGAGGGAGGGAGCCAATCTTAAACTTAACGTTTTAGTCTCCTACTTTTGATCACCGGTTGATCCCTTTAAACTTTGCTTCTCCCTGGTTTAGTTTCTCATGTTTTACACTTGACCTTAGCCTGATGGCCAAGAAGTTTTATGAGGTATTTTTTATGTGTGTAGGTGTTCTGCGTATGTGTGTGTGCACCAGGCGTGTGCAGTGCTGTTTTGTTGTGACTTAACCCTTACCTTTGTGTGTGTGTGCACCAGGCGTGTGCAGTGCTGTGTTTTGTTGTGACTTAACCCTTACCTTTGCAGCCCTCACAGGTTAGTGCATTGTAGTGGTACCCTGATGCCTTATCTCCACAGACCACGCAGAGCTCATCTTGTCTCTTCCAGCGTAAAGAGCAAGTTGGTCTGGACCTTTGTATCCCAGGGAATCCATCTTCATCATCGTGAGCAATCATGTAAGTGGACTGACTTGATTCATGGGCATCAAGTCCACACCAGCCACCACCGCTGTACTGTGGATCCAAGCCATGTGCGTTGAAATGGCTTTGAAAAGATGACGCCTGTAAAGCTGGAGGGAACTGAGCAGTAGAATACTGGCAATAGGGTGCCTCTTGGAAATCGGTGCCACACAGTTGATAATGGATTTGTTCTGGCAAAACATCTAGTTTAATTAACACAAAAAAGAATAAATCATAAAAACTCAAATGTTTGTAATTGTTTTCAAACTTCAGAATGCTTTGTTTTTCTGTGTTTCGAGACAGGGTTTCTCTGTATTGTTTTGGAGGCTGGCCTGGAACTCGTTCTGTAGACCAGGCTGGCCTCGAACTCACAGAGATCTGCCTGCCTCTGCCTCCCAAGCTCTGGGACTAAAGGTGTGAGCCACCAAGGCCCGCCCGGCTTTCAGAATGTTTTATACTCAACAGAAAGTTATTTCAACACTATGTCTTAGGGCTTGCTGTCCAGCATAATAGGAACACAGTAAATCGAACTACATCTAATAAATGCTGTCACCCAGAAATGACAGAGATGAACAGATGCCAGAAGAAAGGGCATTAGTTGCTAGTGGTGCTAGTCTCTCTCCTTAAGGAAAAGGGAATCTTCCCAGATTCTTGAGTTTATTTCCCCTACTTTTTGCATTTCCTTTGTTATGGTTATTGTCACAACACACAAGTGGGAAGTCACATGCAAATAACCACATACACACAGTATTAAAAATAATAGCTGGGCCGGGCGTTGGTGGCGCATGCCTTTAATCCCAGCACTCGGGAGGCAGAGGCAGGCGGATCTCTGTGAGTTCGAGACCAGCCTGGACTACCAAGCGAGTTCCAGGACAGCCTCCAAAGCCACAGAGAAACCCTGTCTCGAAAAACCAAAAAAAAATAAAAATAAAAATAAAAATAATAGCTGGGAAACCAACCAGCATAGGACCAAACCAGGCCCCCTGAACATGGGTGTCAGTTAGGAGACCTGGGAAGTCTATGGGGCCTCTGGTAGTGGATCAGTACTTATCCCTAGTGTACAAATGGACTTTGGAAGAGGGATACTCTCTCAGCATAGATACACAGGGGAGGGCCTAGGCCCTGCTCCTAATGATAGACAGACTTTGAAGATCCCTCATGGAAGGCCTCACCCTCCCTGGGGAGCAGAAAGGGGATGGGATAGGGAGTTGGTGGGAGGAATGGGAGGAGAGGAGGGAGATGGAACTGGGATTGATATGTAAAACAAGATTGTTTCTGATTTAAATTTTAAAAAGAGAGAGAAAAATATTAAAAATAATACAAATGGATCTTCAAAGAAAAGCTATTTATCAACCATGACTACTGTAAAGCTCATGTATAATTTAAAAGATTGCCTCTAATTGTCCTTAAAACTAACTTCAATTTTTGCAAGTTGATTTTTTTAATTGAATACATTTTTTACATTTATTTATTTTGTGTGTGAGAGAATTTTGTGCTAATGTATGTCTGTGCACTTCTTGTGTGCCTGGTGCCTGAGGAGGCCAGAGAAGGAGACTGAAGTCTCTGGAACTGGTAGAGACAGTTGTGAGATAGTATATGGGTGCTGGGAATGAAACTCTAGTCCTCTGGAAAAGCAGTCAGTGCTTTTCTGCTTAGCTTAGCTGCTAAGCCATCTACACAGACACACACACACACACACACACACACACACACACTTTATTAACAGTTGTACTGCAGTTTTTTTTTTATTACATACCATAATACTGTGCAGGTTCAGCAAGACCGTACCCATCAGATGCAGTGACATAGGTGTTTGCCATTGTCTGGTCCAGGATCCACGGTTTCTTTTCTTCAGCGATGCTAGACACTTTCAGAATAAAGCCTGAGGTGGGGGAACTGCAGCAGATTACTTATCATTTTGTTAAATTACAATGTAAAACCAGGCATGGGAGTACATGCCTGTAATTACAACACTCTAGAGACTGAGGCAGAGCAGTCTTCCTTCCAGGACTACGTAGTAAGTTCAAGACCAGCCTGAGCAATACAGCAAGACTGTCCAAAAAACAATAAAAAGTTACACTTTTTTAATAAAAATTTTAAACTGATTAGATGACTCAAGGGGTAGAGAAGCTTGCAACAGAAGCCTGACAGCCTGAGTTCAATTCCCAGAACCCATGTAAAGATGAGAGAATGAAACCAACTCCACAAAGTTATCACCAGCTCTCCACCTGTGCTCTGTGGTACATGTACCCACCTAAACACGAATGATTTTTTTTAGAAATAAAAAAACTACTAAAAATTGCAGAATTTATACATGAGACTTAATACTTCTATTTTAATCAAGAAAGTCTTCACATTTTCAAACACAAAATTATTTAATTTCACTAATTTCTTATTGCCTAGCTTTTAAATGGCTTAATAAATTTGGCAATAATCATTAGAACCATACCAAATTTGAAGTTACAACCCAAATGCTTTTCAGCGCTTATTTATAGATGATTTATTGTACCTCTCTGAACGTTGGCTTCTTCTCTTGTAGTACCAATCCTCTCCACAAAGTACTGGGAGGAGCAGGTTAGTGTGTGTAAAACTCAGCACAACTCTTAACAATACCTCGTTCTCCAAAACGGTTGTTCTGGGAGACTGGAGAAGATGGCTCAGCAGTTAAGAGCACTTGCTGCTCTCCCATAGAACAGAGTTTGGTTTCAGGCTCAGAACTGCCTGCAATACCAGTCCCAGGCAATCCAATACCCTCTTCTGGCCTACACACACACACACACACACACACACACACACACACACACACACACACACACACACACACGAGAGACAGAGACAGAGAGAGACAGAGACAGAGAGACAGAGAGAGAGAGGAGAGCAAGCACTGTAATTTTTGGTTGTGGTTCAGGCAGGTATAGAGGCACATGCCTTTAAACCTAGCATTCAGGAAGCAAGGGGCAGATGGATCCCTCTGAGTTTGAAGCCAACATGGCCTAGTAAAGAGATCCAGGCCAGTCAGGGTTACATAGTGAGACCTTGTCTCAAAGTAAATAAAGGAATCTTAAAAAAAAAATATTCTAAGCCAGGCAGTGGTGTCACATGCCTTTAATCCAGCACTCTATAAGCAGAAGCAGGGGGATTGCTGAGTTTGTGGCCAGCATGGTCAACAAAGCAAGTTCCATGACATTCAGGGCTACCCAGAGAAGCCCTGTCTCAAAAAGCAACACAAAACAAAAAATTATTCTAATGGTTTCCAGATCTCTGTGTTCTAAACTAAGGTGAAATTCAAAAATAGACTTTTTCATGAATACAGAGGAAGTTAAACAGTGGGAAACAATAGCTTTCATATCATTTTCTAATCATCTAAGTCTTTGGTAAATACACTTTCTCCAGCACTCTGACAAGGTAAATATTAAAGCATTAATAATGGCACGGCTTGAATAATGACAACAGTTCATCAGATTTACTTTTAGTAGGAAGACACAAAAAGTGAAAGTTATGAGGAAAAATGATCAAAATATAAGACTATCCCTTATGGGTAATTTGTTAGTTTTTGTTATTTCCCGAGAAGGCACTCCAAAAAGGATGTCTTTAAATAGCGCTAAACAGGAAACCACAATTTTGAAGCTGGAAGTCATTTGAAGGGGAGAAGGTCACCCTAGAGGCTGTCACATTTTGTAGTTTTATCCCCTTCTTAGCAGATAAGAGCTGGCCCAGTGGTGCATTCCTCAGGAGGCCTCAGGAGGCAGAAGGCAGGAGGGTTTGAGGCCAGCTTGGGATACATAGAGAGACCTTGAATCAAAAAGAAGGAAAAACATTATCTCAAAAGAAAACAGCAAATAAAATGAATTTCATTTGTTTTACATGGATTTTGGAAAGTTTTCTTTGATTTGCTTGTTTGTTTTGTTTGTTGAGATTAAGTTTCCTGTAGCCAAGCTGGCCTTGAGCTACTGATCGCTGTGCCAGCATGCCCAGCAAAAATGTGATTTTTTTTTTTTTTTTTGGTTTTTCGAGACAGGATTTCTCTGTGGCTTTGGAGGCTGTCCTGGAACTTGCTCAGTAGACCAGGCTGGTCTCGAACTCACAGTGATCCGCCTGCCTCTGCCTCTCGAGTGCTGGGATTAATGGCGTGCGCCACCAACGCCCGGCCAAATGTGAATTTTTTTAAAGCTTTATTGATTATGTATACAGTGTTTTCCCTGCACACCAGAAGAGGGCACCAGATCTCACTATAGATGATTGTCATCCACCTTGTGATTGCTGAGAATTGAAGTTAGGACCTCTGGAAGAGCAGTCAGTGCTCTTAACCTCTGAACCATCTCTCTAGCCCCAAAATGGAATTTTTTTAACCATGCAAAAAAAATGCATATAGATGAAGCACTTCTGAGTATCTGAAATAAGCCTTTTAACTTTTCTTTGGTGTGTTACTCATATGAGCTCTTTAAATAAGATTTCTCCCTCCAATAGTGATATGCCTGAAAGTTGTTTCACCTTATGGATCTAGGCTCCTTTAAAATTGCACAAGCTCCCCCTCCCTCCACCCAGTCCTCTGCTGGTACTGCAACAGTCATTTATGGTAAGTATGAAGCAGGAGCGATGCCTCTGGATAAATGTACTTTCAATATGAAGTTTCCCTTGAGGAGTAATAACACCAATAATACCAAGGTATAAGACTGCTTTTCCACTACTATAAGTCAATGATTCCCTTTATTTATAAAAAGAACTCTGAGGTATACTCCTGTAATCCCAGCCCTTGATAGTGGAGGAAGGAAGATGAGGAGTTCAAAGCCAGCCTCAGCTACACAGTGAATTCATAGCCGGCCACAGTTACATAGTGAGTTCAAGGCCAACCTAGGCTATATGAGACCCTATGTCTCAAAAACAAAAATGCTGTTGGTCTAATTTGTGTTCTAATTTTAGCAATGCCCTCTATTTCTTTCTAAACTTCTCTTTTGAGTCTCAATTAGATATTAGAACAATGCAGTTGAACATGGAACATTGAAGCTATTATTCACCTTTAAAATTGATTGTGTTTATCACTAAACTTCATATATCATGTCATTAAATAACTAAAACAGATTGAAAATTAAAAATCAATCAGCATAAGACTTTCCTGGTTAAGAGATCACTTGATAAGTCATACTGAACAAAAGTATGACAGTCTGACCACACCAAAGTACCTTATAATAATGCCACCATCAGGGTTCATGTTATAAATAACAACATTCTAAAACCACATTCTTCTAACACTGGCTTTAAAAAAACATTCAAATACTGACTACATCAGATTTGTTCCCATCAGATCTGGACCAGTTATAATCCAGGAGGTATGGAAGATGCATGCATAAATTACATTCTTGTAAAGAGAGGCCTTTCAAAATATGAAATGCATATTTGTTTTATGTGTTCACAGTAACGCTCGCATCATTTTCCACCTCAGATTTTTCACAAAATTTCAGGCTCTTAGTATTTAATTTCATGGCAATGTTTTTATTTGCAAGTTTTTATGATAAATTTATTTAAATATTTAATAGGAGAACTATATATAGATACACAGAAAAATAAAATGTTAATAAGTTAGTTTTAAAACATTCAATAGAGTCAACATGATGGCCCTTTGTGTAAAGGCACCTGCCATCAAGTGTGATAACTTGATGAGTGACACTCCATGATGGAAAGAGAGAACCAACTCCCAACAGCTGTTTGCCACCCCCACTCCATGTGTCACCGCCCCCACACTCCACGTGTCACCCCCCCACACTCCACGTGTCACCCCCACACTCCACGTGTCACCCCCCACACTCCACGTGTCACCCCCACACTCCACGTGTCACCCCCCACACTCCACGTGTCACCCCCTACACACTCCACGTGTCACCCCCCCATACTCCATGTGTCACCCCCCCACACTCCACGTGTCACCCCCCACACTCCACGTGTCACCCCCCACACTCCACGTGTCACCCCCCCACACTCCACGTGTCACCCCCCACACTCCACGTGTCACCCCCCACACTCCACGTGTCACCCCCACACTCCACGTGTCACCCCCCACACTCCACGTGTCACCCCCCACACTCCACGTGTCACCCCCCACACTCCATGTGTCACCCCCACACTCCACGTGTCACCCCCCACACTCCACGTGTCACCCCCTACACACTCCACGTGTCACCCCCCACACTCCACGTGTCACCCCCCACACTCCACGTGTCACCCCCCACACTCCACGTGTCACCCCCCACACTCCACGTGTCACCCCCTACACACTCCATGTGTCACCCCCACACTCCATGTGTCACCCCCACACTCCATGTCACCCCCACACTCTCCATGTGTCACCCCCCACACTCTCCATGTGTCACCCCCCACACTCCATGTGTCACCCCCACACTCTCCATGTGTCACCCCCCACACTCCATGTGTCACCCCCTACACACTCCATGTGTTACCCCCACACTCTCCATGTGTCACCCCCCACACTCCATGTGTCACCCCCACACTCTCCATGTGTCACCCCCCACACTATCCATGTGTCACCCCCACACTCTCCACGTGTCACCCCCCACACTCCACGTGTCACCCCCTACACTCCACGTGTCACCCCCCACACTCCACGTGTCACCCCCCCACACTCCACGTGTCACCCCCCACACTCTCCATGTGTCACCCCCCACACTATCCATGTGTCACCCCCCACACTCTCCACGTGTCACCCCCACACTCCACGTGTCACCCCCTACACTCCACGTGTCACCCCCCACACTCCACGTGTCACCCCCCACACTCCATATGTCACCCCCCACACTCTCCACGTGTC